TCCCGAAAAACCCGTTCCCTATCGAGAGGCCGAAATCGTTCCCCGAGCTCTCCCCCTCCCTGTCCCTGATCGTAAATAATTTCCATCTCGAGCTCTCCTCCTTCCTCCCCGCCGATAAATCGTAAAACGCCCACGGGCAAGGTTTTCCTCCCGACTCGTAGGGTTTTCCCGATGGGATGCGTCGAAACCGATACCAACGGGTCTCGAGTTGACCCCCGGACCCCGGAGCTCGGTAATGGCGCGAATTTCCACAAATTGCCCCGATCTCGCCCGAGGTAAACACCCGAAATGGTCGCGGAGGGCCGCGTCGACCTCTCCGGGGAAAACTAGAGAGAAAGGAAAAGAGAGGAGAAAACGGCTCGCGTCAGGAGGAGGTCGTGGGCGCGAACGACCGCCCCCACGGCCGGAAAGATCCTCGTCGATAGAGGCGACTTCGGCACGAGGTGAAGACTCTCCTGCTCGGACGTCATACTCCGAAAAGAGGGCGGGTCCTCCCAACCCGATCGAGCGAACCTCGCCGATCGATCAGATCGGTGACGAAAATATTGGCTCCGCGGAAACTTGCAAAGAAATAAAGCGGCAGAGAGCTTTTTTTAACTTGTCCCTCCGGACACGTGGGGCCACGGTCCCGGCTATGCCCTCCGTCCTCTTTTCTCTCCCCGCTTTTCCTCCATAATTTTCGTAGCGAACAAAAAAAAAATTAAGACACTCTCGGACCACATGACTTTCCTCGTGAACTTAAAATAGAACGCTAAGATTTAAAGGGTCGCATCGGTAACAGGCGCCGCGCTCCGATTTTGGATCGTGCCTCTTGTTGTATTTTTTTTTTCTTTTTTCGTTTCCCATTTTCCCCCGTTTCGCCATTAACAATTAGTTAGAAGCACTCGGGAGATTCGTAACGGTAGTTTCCGAGAAAACGTGCTCGCGTGGTCGGAGTTAACGTCAAACGACCCGCGCATAAACACCTACCGGCCAGTCGCTCGTCTACCGGGTGTCCTGGTTCGAGGAGCGAGCTGAAACCTGGCCTTTAAATCTTCCAAAATCGTTGACATCATCGAAGGTCAACGCGGGGAGCTAGGTTCGGTCGCGAATCGGGAGCCCAGAGGCGTGGGTTTATCGCGGGCCCACCTTGTGTCGCCTTAACGAGGAGGCGACTCTTTGTTTTGCTTTCGCACACCCCGTCGCCGAGAGTAGGGGCCTAACCGCCTTGTGCCATTTAATGCGAGAGCAGGCAAAGAGAATACCACGCGTGCCCCCGCGCACTCGAAATTCCAGAGCCTCGACGAGAAAATCGGGCCCGGCCGGTCTTCCGATATTTGTAAACATTCGGCCTCCGATTCCTTTGGGCTCCCTTTCGGTATTCGCGGTAAAAGTCCTCGTCTAAAATCGCTACCGCGACGAGATACTTTGCCAACTCGACTTTGGACTCCGGTCGGCGATTCAGCGAAGAAAAAAAGAAACGCGTCCGTGACGAGTTGGCGAGTACAATGACTATTTTAACGAGTCGAGGAATTCGACTCGCCACCTCCTGCCCACGATCGTCGGTCGCGACGCGGATGCAAAAGCCGCGAAGGGCGGCCGATGCGAGTCGAAATCCACGAATCGGCGGATTACCCGGAGTGACGCCTACCTGTCGTCGTGCAGCCGCTTCAAGTCGGCCATCTCCAGCTCGAACTTGAACTTGGAGACCTCGCAGAGCAGCGCGTCGCGCTCGCCGATGACCTCGTTGAGCTCCCTCTGGAGACGCTCTATCTCGGCATACTGCCGGCCGATGATTTGGTTCTTCTCCTCTAGAACCGCGGCGAGGTCGGCGCCCGCGAGGCCGGCCTCGCCGACGCCGAGGACGGCGCTCATGGCGTGCGCGCGCGTTTGTTTACCTCCGACCGCGGGTCCGCCCCGGAGCCCTCCGCCGCTAGGCCGCGCCGTCCTGGTGGCCGCCACCGGGGAGCGCGACCGCCGCGCCGGGCATACCAACCGCGACTGACCGCCGGCGCTCTCCTCCGGTCCACCGCGTCCCTCCGGGCCGAGTCTCGGTCACTCGACGCGCGAACCGCGAGTCCCGGGTCACGCGTTCGCCATCTTGCCGCGACCTGCCGCGACGTTGCTCCGAGCTCGGGCTCGTTCTCGCCGATGCCGCCGGCCGCCGCGAGAATCGCCAAGAATCGCGGCGCGTCCCACGCGCGCACCTACCGCCACCGACTAGCACCGACTCGCTGTCGTTACGGACGCGCGATCCGCGCGCCTGCGTGCCCGCCCCGCGGGACGACCGTGGCGCCATCCCGTCGCGACCGGCGGAACCTCCTAGCCAACTGGATCGGTACGGATGAATTTTGCGGACGCTTGCTTTGAGACGCGAGCACAGTCTATGATAATTCCATATTATCGCGATTCAGATGAGCATAAAAAATGCGAGATCGATGAAGTCCTATATTTTCCATGTTAAAAACCCGAGTTGGCGTGGATCAACGTCGTTAAAAAAATGGGGAGCGCTGCCCCAGGGGCATGCAACTGTCTGTACATATCTGTACGTGAGGTAGTCCTTAGGTAGGCGATGCGCCGCGGTGTGGTATTGTATTTATTGAGGAATTTGTTAATATCGTAGTTGCAGGCGAACGAAGGGAGAGGAAATTAATCGAGGCGATTTTTGTCCTTCGTCTTGGATAATTATTTGGATTTTAGGAAGGCCGTGGGGATCTTCATATATTTTTCTTATCGAAAATCATATGATTTCGGTGACCCACCAAATTCGTGCGCGAAATAAACATCTCATGGTGACGTTGGCATTCGTTAACGATGAGTCGTTAATATCAAAGTCTTACGGAAGCGAATTAAAAGTAATTGCAGATTTGTCGTATTCAGGTCCGGCTATGACAGTACACATTGCATAACTGTCTCTTATGTACAAATATCATGAGTTAATCACGTTCATCTATCACGCGCAGGAAAAACGTAAGCGATGGTCCCGAAGTGTCCGCAAGGAAAGTCAACGCCTGATCGTCCGATAAGAATAATATCTTAGACGGTCTTTTATCTTTTATCTTTCTGGGTATCCCTCGATATTCGTTAGACTCCCCTTTTGTTCATCGTTTCTTGCGCTTACGTAAGTGCTAGCGAAGCATGATTACATTTTAATATCCGAGCTAGATTTTCTGATCGTCCGAATATCTCGCATCTCCATCCACATGTCCCAAGAAAAAATAAAAATTGCCGGCATCATTCCTTTGGAACATCGAGTCGAGTCGAACAAATTATCCGGAGGACGTGTAATAACGCACGAAGAATTCATAAATCACCTGTAAATTCTTTTCCTTTGGAATTCATCCCGGCTTCGTAATTATTGGATATCATTAGAATTTGTAATACACCCTGTCGGTTACGCAATGGAGTGGAAAAAAAACGCATACGTTATGTTGTACAACAATTGTAGCAGATCTCTTTTTATCTGAATGTACGTGTCGCTCGGAAACCGTGCATGCACGAAAATTAGTCGAACAATTACTCGCGACGTCTCAAAAGTCCTCTATTTAAGGTGGAAGGGAACATTCTATTTACGCTCGCGCTTATGTCAATTATTGGTATCAGGCATGCACGTTGCAAGTGCCTCGTTGATAAAAGTAATCGGTTTATCACCCTTCGGCGTGCTTTCGCCGTGAAAGGCGAGTAAGTTTGCGCGTGCACCTTCGCGTTTTTCTTCTGATCTGAAAAGCTTCCTCGAAACGAATCGACGAGTCACGCACTCGACTAACGAACCTTCTTTTTCTTTTCACTGGTACAATTCAACATCGATCTTACCCACCGCCGAGTCCGCAAATACGAGTGTTAATCGGAAAATTCAATTTTTAATTTTCCTCGAGAATTGTCAATTTCGCTCTCGTTGCGATTCAAGCGTTGAGCAAGTGCGATCGACGTTTAAGACTTGGCTAAGTACTTCAGCCTTGACAGAAAAACTAGTCCTGTGGAGAATTAACATTAATTATGAACTAATCCCCGAAGAAAGTATCCGTTCTCGTTCCAGTTCGTTGTCCTGTCCACACGTGATTCTTGATACTTTCCCTGAAGTCCCGATTTAAAACACCTCGTGCCTGTCTTTTGCAATTAGTTGATCGATTTTCGCCAATCGCGAGCCGCGATTTGCTCACGTGCGTCGCTGACCGTTGTCAATATGTCGAAAGGACCGAGCCGGGGAAACGTTAAAGCGACGTCCCGGATTTGCAATGTCGTTGTTAAATCGCAATTTTTGTCAGCCACCCCGGAGAATGTACTCCGAGCGCGGTGCGTTGCATACCAAAGCCCACGTAATGTTAGAAAACCGGCTTCGCACCGTATCTAAATTTATTTCGAGTCATTTACTGCAAATAAGTACAGACTATCGGGCTCTTCCTGTCACACATTGACTAACATTGGACTTCGATACCTTGGACTTTGATAGCTTCGTAAGTTTTCGAGTCCGTAGATAGGCCGAAATATCTCTCATCTAGATCTCCCATCCATTTGCACGAAAAATTCGACCTATCTCTACCATCGAAAAGTTGACGATAACCTTCGGAAACTCGACGGATAAGAAGTGTATCATTTGGAGGCAAAACCTCGTCGAAGGAATAAAGTCCCTTATTTGAATTTACGTGGTCCTTCTTTTTTCTTCCTTTTTTTTTAAATCCTCGCGCAACTCCCAGGAGTAAGGTCTCGCCTCGACCTTGCGGCTCATCGACACCGAGGTCGCCCTCGGAAATCGGGACGCTTTTTGAATACGAAAGCCGGCTCCATCGATCTCGCCGGAAGGATTAGGAAGGTCGTAAAGTACGAAAGTTGGAGAAATAGCCAGCCGATCGAACTAGCAAGGAGCACAACGAGGACCCCGATTCGTTGACGGTGTCGCACGTCGACGTGGACTCGCAATTATGGCCGGATTAGCGATACGTCGGGGGCCCGTCCCCTCTCTTGGCCGCTGTCAGGACCGAGAGATCAGCTCGTGTCCCTTGCACGTTCCACCTCGTGCACAATCGACCGCGGCCTTTGCATCAAACGGTATATAAACTGACTACTCCCCACGAAACTCGGTATCGCCGGGAAGACGACGTCGCGCCACGCGAGGGACTCCGACATAGTCAGGGTGGTCTTCGAGCCCTCTTCGCAGGCTTCGAGGCCCGGAGGACTCCCCAACTCCATACGAGTGCTTTCTCCTCGAGTTCCCTCAATTTTTTTCCAAGCATACATTTTCGTACACAATTCCTGAAAAAAAAAGGCCTCTGCAACGCACGGTACGTAATTCACTCCTAATACGACCGACCCGAAGAATACAGAGTAGGGTGATTTTTTCAACCTGAATTAATTCCGTGGATTGTGGATGGTTCGACGATATCCGAATATCTGAAAAATTCAGAAGAGAGACGAGTGGTTTCATCGAGTGACAGAAGAAATGATAACGCTGGTCAAGGGCTCGAAGGTAAAGGGAGCGCCCGAGAACTTGTAAGGGATGCTGTGATCGATATCGCTTATTTATTTCATAGAGGATTATTTTTATCTGAACGTTGTTGAACGGTATTGGAAAGTATTATCGAAGACGTAATAGATTGAGAAGAATTATTGACCTTAAAAATTCATTTCCTCGCGTTCTACCCTGACGGATAAAATTTGTCAGAGGAAAGCCAAACGTACGTGCGTCCGAAGTGAAACATTAGCGATATTATATCGCCCTTCTGTTTAACCAAAGTATCACGGAAGAAGTAAAACATCTTTAAAAATGGATCTTCGTATTACACAAAAAGACTGCATATTATGTGGACAAATTTAAAAAGATTCGATGATCCGTCCTATTCATTTTTATTTCATGAAAATATAATCAGTTTGAACTGGTAAATATTAATATATATCGGACTACCATACAAGTGGAAAGCAAGAAAGGATATTGGGACGCAGGAAATATTCGAGTTTATCCGAAGAAGTCGACATTGCTTAACAGGTATTTCACTAGAATATATATTTTTTATTTAATGGAAAATCTGGAAAGCCTTGAATTTTTAGAGAAATTTAGGCCCGGAGGACTGATCTTACCGTAAACAGATGGAGTGATGGCTTGTGACAGTCGTCTACGCTTCAACAGTTTATTGCATAATTATTCGAATAAGAAAATTGGTACTGTTATCGGCGAGTTCGCGCTCGAGCAGGCGGATTGGTAGAAAGTTGCCGATTCTGAATTTATTTTCGCGCATAACCTTCGTATCAATTTTCTGCGCGCTAAAAATATCGATACCTTGCTTTTATAGTATTGCGGTACCGAGATAATTATATTGCAAGGTCATCGACCGGTTCGAGTAGCGATAACGATTTCCATTCAACTAATTTATACAGTCCAAAAAGTTTGGTCGTTTAAAAATCAGTGAGCTACAACTACAATTTGTTGCCATAAGTCAGCATCCATAAATCCATAATTAGGCCTCTGATTAATCGGTAATAAAGTTCTCGTGCAATCGCTCGCCCGATCACCTGTTAGTAAAGTCGGTACATTTTTGTTGCAGAATGGTTGGCTTAAGCGTAAATCATTTTGTCCTTGTCCTGTGCATATTTTTGAAGCTGCGAGATTCTGGATCGATCCCACAAGGGTCTACGACCTACGAAGGTAAGGGATCCTAAAGATCGACTCACGTATTAATAAAAAAATTATAGAACGTTACAACAAATTTTCTTGGACTTGTAATACGGCTTCCCTTGCAGACATGTCCTTCTGGCTGAAATCGGGCCAAGAAAATCTGCAAAGGGTACTCTCAATTCGGAAGAACGAGAATCAAGCGAAGAACATCATCATTTTTATTGGGGATGGAATGGGGATGTCAACCATAACCGCTGGGCGCATATTTAAGGGCCAAACAAGAGGAAATTCCGGAGAGGAGTACAAGTTGGAATTCGAGAAATTCCCCAGCACTGGAATTTCGAAGGTATTATTTTTTTGGAATTATACAACGCGTATAAAAATGATATCGGTGTCCTTATATACGGACGAATTCCTAAAAATTATGCAAATACCTCTTTCTCTATTTCAAAACCGTCTTCTAATTTTTCTGAAAAATTAAATCCGGTAGCAGCACGAGATTGATTTTTTTCGGGATCATATTCTCCGTGGATTACCCGAGCAAATCGGACATACGTCGCTTACGCAACGATGCATGTGGAAATTAGGCTGTCAAGGAGAAAAAGGGGGTCAGCCGGAATAGGAGCCGATGCTATATAACGTATTGAAATCTGTTGGGGAAGTGCGGATTAAAGCAATGAAGACGGCGAGCGAGTACGGTGCTGCAAGCGTTTCTGCGAAAATTGACAGCAGAGTCAGCGATTATCGTGGCACGCGTCCCCGTGTAAAAAAGTGCAACAATCAGCCTCGTGAAACAATTCAGTTCCTGTTATCAGCGCTAACAAATCGCTATCGATCAGCGTCTCGTCTGGACCAGATATTCGAGATCAGTTTTTTCGTAAAAGATATTTTTCGATATAAATTGATTCATCGTCCTGATTGATTCGATTCCGACCGAGTGATCAATGAGTCATCCTTATCACCTACAAGGATGTCATTCATAACTGCCCTACAAAGTATCCAGAATATTTTGACCTTGAAAAAAAAAATGTTCCTAAATTGGTCGACATTGAAACGGACAAACCTGCTTAGACAGTTATGAAAATTGATTTCAACGGTACTTCGGTTGCGTCGAGCTCCATAAAAGCAGTAAAATAAGGAGACAGACAAAAAAACGCAATGGATCGATGTCAAAGTACTCTGTATGTGAACGTGGGCAATTATTCCCTTGGATCTAGGAATTGTTCAAAGAAAAAACACTCATTCTTAAAGTCCAATTTATCAATGGGTCGCCCATGTAGGGTCTGTATACGTAATATTCGTAATACATAAATGTTTATAATTTTTGCAGACATATAACGTCGACAAGCAAGTGCCAGATTCTGCGGGAACGGCGACCGCTATATTTTCCGGGGTAAAATGTCGATATCGAGTTATCGGCTTCGATGGGAAAGCACCTTACAACCGATGCGACAGTTCCATCAATCAGGCGAGCAAGATATCGACGATCGCTGATTGGGCCCAGGAGACCGGAAAAGACACGGGTAAATATGTGCCCTGTCCTCTGACACGGTAATGGCCCCCTTAAAGAGACCTTGTCGGCTTTCGATGCGGAAAACCATGTACCGCATAACGTTTTGCCAATCGCAGGCGGAATAATAATTGCCACTTCCGGCCATGCATCGCGAATGGAAGTTTAGTCGTCATTTTGAACGAACAATCTTTTTTTATGAAATATTACCCAGAGATGGCTTAAGGTAATGTTTAAGCAATCAGGAGTTAAAATAAATGTCTGCACTCGAGGAAGACAAAAAGCCGCGTTAATATATTGTTCGTGGCGCGAGGGGAGATATGGAATTATCGTTTCCGGTTTTTTCTCGGTAGACTTGTACTAGACACACGTGACGTCTTACAACGACGATAATTCTACGCCGTTGAACCATCGAAAATGTTGCATAATATTTTTGCTTGTCCGCGATAATACCGCCGAGGATAAGTGGCCTTGTGAAACGGTGGTAATCAATTAGAATGATTTAATTCCGATCGAGGGAAGAACGTAGAGGAATTCCGCGATTGGAACGTATCCGAGTTAAGTGCTGATTAATTAAGCGATTGTTTATTCGCAAGTCAATGGATATGGAGATGAATCTACCGGTTTGCTTTTCTCGGAGCGGATTGCGTGACAATCCTCGGGAATGCTCGCGTTTTCAATAATGTCGTAAATGGCGAGAAGTAGGTCTCAGCATTGCCTGTTAGGGCCCTTTAAAGACAACTGACCGGTAAGTCCCAAGTGCGCCGAGAGTATTTACCGCAAATCGGTAATTGGCAAATCTCGCACGCGAACCGCATCGCCTTAGACCTTGAAGGAAACTTGTCGGGATTTCAGGGAAATGTACTAAAGATCCTCGGAAAGAAATGTCGAAGAGTCGTACCTCGAAGAGGCGGTTGACAAAGGCATACTTGGAAAAAGTTTCTTCACTTTGACTCGGATCTCCTCGTTCGAGAGATCCAGAGGAAGCTTTGTGCCGAACAGGATTCTTCTTTGACCGGGATTAGTAGCCCCCTCGGATATTAATTATTCGGCGTTAAAATTATTTTCTTTTGTGTCGTCCTTTGGGGAGGTTTACACGCAAGATACTACGTCCGTTGTATTCTTGAGCTCAGGAAATGAGATCTGCTCCTAAAAGAGAAAAACGTTTTAACGATCGGATGACAATTTTACCCTCGTTATTTACGACGAGGAGGCGTCATAAATATTGGCGCACGTAAATTCCTGTGAAAGTGTTCTCGTTTTACGGACCTTGCCGGGCACGGTAACGAGTTGCATCTACGCGCGTACTAAAGCTGTATGCGTGCCTTTATTCGTCGCGTACCGGTGCGTACGTATTAACGGAAGGTGACGAGCTCGTCGTTTAGACTGTCAAGGATGAACGACACGCACCCATGACCGCGTTTACACCTGGGCGGATTAACGATTCCGTTTTATAGGTGATTCGTCAAATAAATTTCTAATTAAAATGACGAATTGGGCGCGTTTAATTATAGGTTTCGTAACGACGACTCGCATCACGCATGCAACCCCGGCTGCACTGTACGCACACGCCAATAATAGAGACTGGGAATGTGACACTGCGATTCCCAAAGAGTACAGGAGTTGTACGAAGGACATCGGCAGGCAACTCGTCGAAGACGCTCCTGGCATCGACTTCAAGGTATGCTCCAAAAACGCCCTCGTTCTCCCCTCGAAATTTCCATTTTTTGTTTTAACGGGAAAAAGGTTGATTACGCGATTCGGCAACGGTCGATCGCGGCCGAAACAGAAGTTCAAGGCTAATTGAACGATGGCCCTTTTACAGGCGCGTATCCGGTCTTTTCAATTGATCACAATAACGCAATTTAAATGCCCGACATCGGATCCGCGGTAGACACGCCGGCAGTCTTTGCTCCGACGAAAATATGGTGCGAGATACTCAAGTACATAGGATAATGGCCTGAAAGTGAGATGGATAAAAATAGCGCGGATAGTACAGAGCATGGACGATGGCACGATCATTCGATTAATTGAGCCGCGAGGAGGAGGGGAGGGCTGAGAGGTGCGCGCCGTAAATCTGGCCCATTTTTGCGTCAATTTCTGATCGAGCTCGTTGCCTCGATAGGAAGAAAATAATTCCTTCGATCTCGCATTTTGCCGGTAAATTGAATTTTTTTAAGTCACGCTTTCCTATGAATTTTCCTTGTTTCTTCTTATCAAGATTTGCTCGTCAATCGCAATGAGTCGTAGCGGCACGGTGCAGCGGGTAAAAAATTATTCCCTACTCAAACAAGGACTTAACCATGACTAATGTGTTTTAATTATATAGTGGGAATACTGACTGGATTGCCACATGGTCTTACAGCTATCGTAGGGATCGAAATGGGTTTTACCCTCGTTAAACGAGAAACAAATGCGAAGGACATCCGCACGTTATCGCCGTTCCCATAGAACGAGGATTTGCATTCTAGGGGAACTTGGAGAATTTCATGGGCTGTACTTAACGTCGTATTACCGTTTTTAAGGTGATCATGGGAGGTGGAGCTCAAAATATGGGTCTGCCAATGCAGCCCATCGATCCCGAAACGTGCACTAGGGGAGACGGCTTAAACCTTGCGGACGTTTGGTTAAAAAATAATCCAGATGGCCAGCTCGTCACCTCGACTGGAGAACTGATGACCATCGATATTGGAAACACGTCGAAAATCCTCGGAATTTTTGCACCGAGTCATCTGCCGTATTCCGCCGTCAGGGACAGGTCTTACGATGGTACTCCGAGTTTGGCGAACATGACGATGCAAGCTATAAGGATGCTCAGGAAAAATAAAAACGGATTCTTCCTAATGGTAATTGCCCGCAACTGTCGATGCTCCGTGTAAAATCGATCATCCACTTATTTTCTTTATTTTAAATGATTTAACCACGTTTCAGGTGGAAAGTGGGAAGATAGATTTGGCGCACCACCACAACTACGCGAAATTGGCACTTCGCGAAGTGTCCGAGTTGGAAGACGCGGTGCGAGTAGCACTTAAGCAAGTCAAGCTCGACGATACGCTAATAATTGTAACAGCTGACCACTCGCATTCGTTCACGATGAACGGTTATCCCCGACGAGGAAACGACATTTTGGGATTTGGAAATAACCCGGACACGCCGGAAATCAAGCCGTACGAAACTCTGTCCTATGCGAACGGTCCTGGGTACTTTTATCATCGCATAAACGACAGTGCGAATGTCAACGAGACTTGGCGACCGGTCGAAAAGGATCCCAACCGAGAGGATCCATTCCACATGCATCTGGCCAGTTTTTACATGAAGGACGAGACTCACGGCGGGGAAGACGTTGCGGTTTATGCCGCTGGTGAGGCTCTTTTGAAACAAAATTAAAAAAAAAAATTCCTAACACGTGTATCTAAGTTTTTCCTTGAAAGAAACATAGTAGATTTAGTTCGCGATGCGATTTCCGAGGGTCGTTTCATTAACGAAGCGTTATTTTTTCAGGACCCTACTCTCACCTGTTCCGAGGGACCTTCGAGCAGAATTACATAGCTCATGTAATGGCGTATGCAGCCTGCATGAAAAACTGGCCGTCGCACTGCGATAAGGCCTACAATCGGTACTTTTATGAGTTTGCCGATTCAGGAGGTCTTGCCGTTTCTTCATGGTTAAATATCGTTGTGCTTCTTTTTACGCTTGCTCTTATTGGGCCTTGACGAGTGACCTCAGGACCGGCGCATGATAGTTCAATTGATACGAAGCTCCAGCATTGCTGCCTGGATCGAAGGAAAATCCTTCGACGTTGTTTCGTTTTTCTATTACGTGAATAGGATAAGAACGCCGCGCGAGAATGATCGAGCATTTGGAATCGATCGAGCGATACGAGAGACTTAGGAAGTCTTTTACATGTTTTACACGTAGCGTTACACATAGAGTATTTATTAGCTAGGTGCGAACGCATTTTTCCAGGTGCAAGTTCCGAGTATGAATTATTGCTCCAAGTCGGAAGTAGATGTGCAAAGCACGCGACGAAGGAGTGTCGTGAAATACGGATCCTTAAAAGCAATGTTTCAGTCGCTAAAGTAGGGTAATGGAAATGAGCCATTCATTTTCAAATTTATTTATACGTCGAGATGTAGATTTGTTATCGTTGAATAGTGCCAAATCGATTCCGATAAGAGAGAGACTGTCTACTCCGTCTTCGTTCGGATTACTTTTCAGTTTGGCTCTGTTCGAGTACTTTCAGTATTTAGTATGTAAGATGTTATTGCGAGTGCTATTCTTTTTCCTATTGTCAAGGTTCAAGGTACAATCCGAGTACAATTTTCCTACTTGTCTACATTCCGTGGACGTCACAAAAACGGAAAGCAAGAGTGATACCTGAACTTTTTATTGTTAATACAATCCTCAGCGAAATGAAATTTCGGTACAACGAATAAATAAATGACAGATGAAATATTGGATATTTCAGAGTTACGAAATCCCCTTTATTATGGAAATGTACTGATTCTTGTACATCAGTGGGGCGGAGTCATCGCTGACAAAATTTCTGTCCGGTTTTAGTGAAGCAAATGGATTTCTCTGTGGTTCCAAAATAACATCTACCGAACTAATTGATTTAATCCTTTCTATGTCACGTGGAATCTCAAATTCTGTATAGGAAGTAACGACTACGGGGACTTTGAATTTACAAAATTCTCGTATAGTATCGGGCCACGTGTCTAGGCCATTAAACCCCGTGTCTCTGTACAATCCAGGATTAAACAGACAAATCATGTCAGGCTTGATAAAATCCTGCAAACGGCTGTATTCGTGGTATAATTTATTTACTTTAAGCGAAATGTTAATCTTTCGACTAGCCGATTTGCATCTCGAGCAGATTCTGACTTTTTCTATTAAATTCGTTGGAATTCCCTGCGGAACGTGCAATTCTGGACCCGCAAGCACAATCTCCAAATGTTTCAAATTCGGGAGGAAATGCAGAAAGAATTTTTCCCAAACGTGAAGATGCATTCCCTCAAAGAGAAATTCAGCTCCTACCACATGAATCGTCCAAGAAATTTGTTCGCTCCAATCTTCGCTCGATTTTTGCATTGCAAATAATGCAGTAAGCGGTACAGTGCCGATGTGAGATAACGTCGCATAAGTATAACAATCCATTTTCGTATAATACCCTGAAAAGTCGTACAGTTTCGCTATCAGGTCGTCAAAACTGTCAGCCAATGTCGAGCAGTCCTTATCAAGAATTTTATTGGGAATGTCGATATCTATACAACCGTGTCTATGCTGCAGTAATAAAATTTTTCGAAACATTTGGAATTCCTGACAGTAACCTAGATGATCGTTCCCGTGTTCCTCGCAGTGAAACTGAATCTCGCAATTTTTGCAAAAGTTGAGATCCTCCCCGAAGTAATTGCACTTTGTGCAGACTCGAGGGTAGAGGATTATCTCCTTTTCCCATAGTTGCAGAGGTCTCCCGATCCCTTGTTCGATCATTTTTAATAGCTCTACTCGAAAAATTCTAAAATGTTCTGCAGGCAATCCTTGGGCAAGCAGCCATCCTTCGTTCGTCAAACAAATTTCTCCCAAGATTTTACACAGGTCTTCGTGCACAGGTCGATTCTGTTCTTTATGCTTTTGCGAGCAGTATGACACCATTTTGCAAAATTCGCAAATTATTCCGGATGTGCAAATTTCCATGCACACCGCGCACATGTTGGCCACGAAGATAAATCTTGGTCGAAAGTTCAGTTCAATCGAGTCTTCTTCGTCGCTATCGGGAAAATTTTCCCTTTGAAAACACTCGACAAAGGGATAATTTATTCGAGAGAGAATGCCCATCGGACAATTCAATTTTTTCTTCTCTAATGACAGTTCTTGCGGAGTGATATCGTTCTCAAAGGTTGAAGGGTCTTTCGACGAATTTTCCACGAGGTCCCTTCGATGGATCACCCTTAGCTTCTTTTTCGGAGATTTTTTTTTCCCTCCCATGATCCTGACCTAAAAAGTCAATGGCCAATAATTTCCATAAATCAGAATGGCATTGCAAAACAAGGAAGTTACATGCCCGTATGATCTTTAATAAGAGCATGGATAGGTACTTACGATGAAATACGGCCGTCACCTGTCCTAGGTCTATTTCAACGATTCAGCAATTCTGCGTTCCGGTCTCGTTAATAAATCAATTTTTAACCTGTTAACTGCGGAATTAACTGTAACGTCACGGGTTACCGACGTGTATACACGTCGAATGAAGTTAACTGGTTAATTAACACTCGATTTGTCCCACAAACGTTACCTCCGAATAGAACGTGAAATTGTACACTTCATAACTCGGAAAAATCCCGAACGGATTTTTTGAAGGGACGGTTTTCACGGAAACCGGAATACGAAATACGGTGTCGCCTTCGCGAGTCGTTACTTTACGATTGCCCTGTACTAAAGGGGAATCATTTTCACGGGGCGAAAAACGGCAAGTTTCGACGACATGCGCACTTCGTCGATGGGCACAATGCCCAATGGCTAACACCTAATTTAAGGTATTTCAAGCGCTGTTAAACTGTGAAGGTGCAAGTTCGCTAAGTCTGCAGCCCTTAAAAGAGCGCGATCCTTTTATAATTATCCATGGAAAAAATTTCGAACCAATTTTCCATAGGAAAGAGAGTGACACAACTATCTCTAGAAATTTTCGCTTATTATAAGAATACCTTAGAACACTAAATGACCTTTTTTAAGAACGGAAGGCTAAAAAATAATCCTTACCCACTTCAGGTGGACGGCAGGGATTAGGTTTCAAAGCGAGGAGGAATTTGCACGGATTTCGGCATTTCGTAACCGAAGGCCTGGCGTCGGCCATTTCCCGCCTCGCACTTTCAAAGATCACTTAGAAGTAGAGACAGAGCTGCACGGTAACGAGGAGGATTCGCGAATTGCCAAAGTTCCACTATTTTTTAATAATCTATCCGGCTTTTAATGAATGTAGGAGAAACGCTATTGCATTATCAAGTGTTTGTGACGTCGACGTGTCGGTTTAATTTGGAAATTTTCTCGAAGTGATTTATTCTTCTAATTTTTTAAAAGAAGTGATATATCACTCTGAATAAATATTGTTGGAACCCTACAGCTTCCGGAACCGAACGAGTCTGTAGCGTTGGCTCGTCACCAGCTGCGTAGGAACGGCTCACGTGATCACGAGCGCGGCGCGTTATATGCGCATGCATGCATACGCGTGTGCATTTTTGATACATCAGCCGATACGAATATCTACGTGTATTCCTCTCAAGTGCCACGAGTGCTTCCAATCACTATCAAGAAACGAGAAACAGTTTACGTTTAGTATGTGGGGAAGTTCATTTATTGGATGTTTGTTACCTCGTTGTACCTCGTCTGTGCATCGTTTTTTGAGGTTAGGCCTCCGGTGACGGGATGGTTCCTCTTATAACAGTAGTATGTACAGATAGTGGGCGTAAAATTAATTTCATATCACTCTGACAATTTTCTGTGATATAATCTTCAATCTGATGCGGCAAAATGTGGAAATGTCTGGTTCGCAGGAAAAACTTAATGGGTATTGGGAAGGTTCGATAATTTAAACCCAAAGTACCCATGGAATTTAAGGCTGACAGTATATGTAGGTGACGTGTTAATATATAATATTTTCTCTAATTGGTGTAGCGTAAATTGTTGAATGCGCAACCATTGACTCCTGTGTTTCAGGGTGTCATTTGCCGCTGAATGAAATAAGTATTTATAACATAAAAGTTCAGTGGTGACGGGTCGTTTGTTAGGTAATAGTCATCCATTGGCGTATCTATTACTTCGCTTTATCTAACAACAGCCAAGTTTCATTAGATAACATGATTCAATTTACAAGTTGGAACGGTATGGTGCTTCATATAAATGAAAGTAAACCGAATTGAATTTTTGTCCCAAACTATATAAGAGGCATTAATGTCCATATTTTGCAATTATCTGTACCATTAATAATATAGCAAACACCCAAGCCTTGTATCTGCTGAATGATTATATTGCTATCAAGTGTCTTATCGCAGACCTTTGCCAAAACAATTTTGAAGAAAGTCTCAAATCCAGTGCATTCGATGAGTTAAATAAACACGTTAATAAAACTATTTGATCTCTTTGACAGAATTTCTGCATAACGTCTGGGCCTTGTAGGGATTAATCAGTTTCTTTTTCATTTATCCAGACAATGATCATCCGGGATCCTTGGGATTACGAAAGCAAAATGGTGAGTGTAAAGTGTTAAAAGACAATTCATTTGTTCTCTACCTCTGTTGTATGGTGAATCTGCAAGTTAAGTTATAATTTTCACGAGAAGAGGTTGCGTGTAATTCGACATTTCCATTTTGTATTTAATTAGGTGCCCTTTTGGCGAATTCGGTAAAACCATTATATCTTGTCATCTCACGCTCATTAACGCTTTGCTCTCTTTTGTTGAGTGTGACTCGACATCAGCAATCGACATCTTAATAATTAGGAGTGCAAAGAGTTAACACTAGAACTACCAAGACGGGTCAAAATGACTTGTTTCGAATGGCTCATCCTATAAAAAAAAAATCGGCCGGTCGTTCTAGTGTTAATATGGGAGAGATTTTCTTGTCGGTTTTAGCCGGGTTTTGACGTTGCGTTCACACGTGCATGAAACCGCTCTCTGGTGCACCGGCTAGACCAAGAATCGTTGGCAAGCCAACCACTATAAGAAATAAAGCTTGATCTAAATTTGAATCGAGAGCAACCCCCGACTACCAGGCTAGGTCACAGATTCTACTTTTTCTTTTCGTTTATCGTCTGTCTCTCGTCGGTAATTCCGAGCGAACTTTATTAGCGCGCTTCCAACACGTTCACCACTGCGGGTCAACGTGTGCCAGCGCCTGCAAACGAGTGTAAAGTATATCCTGCATAATTGGTATAATCTCCTCAAAAATATTTCCCCCTTAAATACGCCCCAAGGAGAGTTCACTGTGACTATCAAAAGTTTGTCCGAATCGACATTCCACAAAATGCATGCAACATCATTTCGCAGGATCGCATGTTTCATTCAAGCCAGCACGATTTATCAGTTTTCCCGTCACGATAAAATAGGGTTGTGGGGTATTTTAACAATATTTCGATTAACTAGATTCCAACAATAAAAATAGTATGGACAGCATTTCTCTAAGCTGTGTTAAACTGAATTTTCACAGTGCTTCGTGGTGATATACAAGTACCTGGTGAACAAGAATGAGCGATGCCGAGACCAGGGCAACTGATTCGGAGGATATCAGCAGAGTGCGATACAGAAAGAAGACGAACAGGCTTGGCCAAGGCGACATGGTGGGATCAGGGGGCGAATTATTACCTCAGGATCTAGCGAATTTAACCGCGGATCTGGAGATCAATTCCGACGACGATGACCACGATACCATTCATTTGATACCGCCGATATCAATTTCCGGCCGCGAGAGGATCCGCGACAATGGCATGAAGAATTTGGGCTATCAAGGAGAAGAAAATGACACGGAAAATGTCTGGACCATTTCCATACAAATGTTCATCCCATTTCTGCTAGCAGGATTCGGAATGGTAGCCGCCAGCCTGCTATTGGATCTAGTTCAGGTATCCGTAATTTTGTGATACGTGAACCTATCGAAGGGGGGTAGCAGAGTATTAATAATTTTTTTTTTAATTTCAGCACTGGCCAGTTTACCAAGTGGTCTCCGAAGTGTACATATTGGTCCCTGCATTGCTGGGCCTTAAAGGAAACCTCGAAATGACTCTGGCCTCTCGCCTCTCCACCGAGGCAAATCTCGGCCACATGGAGACAAAGAATCAGCAATGGACTCTCATTGTCGGAAACCTATCTCTGATTCAATGCCAAGCCATGGTGGTCGGTCTTCTCGCGTCTCTGGCCGCGGTCATTCTCGGCTGGGTCCCGGAAGCTCACTTCGATGTCCACCATGGGCTTCTATTATGCGCCAGTGCACTGCTTACTGCATCCATTGCTAGTTTTACGCTGGGTCTAGTCATGGTTGCCGTCATCTTATTGTCGAGGAGGTTACATATCAACCCCGACAACGTGGCCACCCCGATCGCAGCTTCTTTAGGGGACTTGACCACTCTGGCTCTTCTCTCGTGGATTGCTTCACTTTTGTACAACGCTATAGGTAAATTGAAAGAATGTGATGGAATTAAATTTTCTACGAGTCGTGCTAAGATACTAAATTTTATTTCTTACTCCAGAGTACGCGCCTTGGATCGCACCCACGATCATTCTCTTCTGCATTTTGGCCACCCCGTTTTGGGGCTATATAGCCGCCAGAAATCCATTTACTAAGGAAGTACTGGATCATGGCTGGACACCTGTGATATCGGCCATGTTGATTAGCAGGTGGTTATGAGTTCTTGTATTTTAACCCTTGTGGATTAATCTGCAACAAATCAGTTTATTCGTCGCATTCACGCGGTATGTTTCAGTATTGGTGGATTAATATTAGATTACACGATATCTAGTTATAAAGGAATAGCGGTATTTCAATTAATCGTTAATGGAGTAGGAGGAAACCTAGTCGCCGTACAAGCTAGCAGGATCTCAACCTCGCTCCATAAAATGCGTCGCACTGGCAAGGGCGAGGCCCCCAGCATTTGTATCAGCCCTTTTCATACCTTCTTCGCTCCAGGTAAAATAAAACACTTTTTCCGTTTACTAGAAATATCCATTTTCTTATGTTTTTGCGGAATCACGAGAATTTCGTTTTAATTATAGACGAGCACGCAAGGACTGCAAGGGTTTTACTAATGATGGTGATTCCAGGGCATTTAATTTTTAATTACACCATTAGTTACCTCCAAGCTGGGCACACATCGTTCACCCCAATTTTTCTTGCAATTTATTTGACCGTGGCAGTTATGCAGGTGATTAATATTCATTAATTTTTTATGAGGTCTGAAAAGGTGCGATCGTCTTAACGAATTGATTGCTTCAGGTTACATTATTACTTTACATTGCTCACCTAATGGTGATGTGGATGTGGTCTCGGGGTATGGATCCGGACAGTTCTGCAATTCCGTATCTAACTGCCGCTGGAGACCTGATAGGAACTGCGCTCCTTGGAATTGCGTTCCACATCCTTTACGCCATTGGTGATGGAGACTCCGATGTTGGTGACTGAACATCGCGAGAATCGATTTTCCGTCCTAGAGTTCCCCGTTTCTGGGCACTCACAAGCAAGAGCGTACGCAATATTTGTTATATTTTATCGCAGACGTAGGCGTTTGTGGAGTTAAGGCCTCTTCTAGGCAGAAATAGAAAGGCAAGAGAATCGAGATATCGATAGTAGAAGTCGATGAAACGGCAATTTAATACCTCTGGTCATCGAGTAAATCGGCCGAGTCGTTCCAAATCCATCGGAGGACAAGTAAGCCATACATTTACAAAGTATATATTTTGTATGAAAGTCAGATATTTTGTGGCCGATTATTAAGTCGAGCGGACATTTCGGCAACAAGTACTGCTTTAAGAAAAAATATATTTGCACGGGTTGCTTAATGCAGGATTGCAGATGTGTCGAACTATGTTTAGAAAATTTGAACTGCCGTCAGTGATTATATTCTGCCTGCGCGTCTTCGTAAATTCTTTCTATGAATTTTAATGATAATCAACTCACGTTTGCTCGAAGCAAATGAATTTCGCCTAAAAGAAGTATCTTCGCAATACATATTGTACCAAAAGGTAAACCATTAATTTTAATTGAAGAAGAGTTAATATATTTTTATAAAGGGTAATAATGATAATGTATGTAGCAGAAAAAGAAAAGGACATGTATTACACGTGGTACTGCCACCCAAGAATATTTGTCAGTATATATGTTTTGTTAAAATAACATTTGACAAAATTCTTGGGAAATTAAGACCTTGGAAAAATGAGGCAATCATTTATAAGACGCAGCATTGAGGATAATAATTCGTTAACATTTTTTTACATCTACTTTGTATGCTCACTTGCCTAAGCACACCAGCACAAATCACCACAGACAGATATTCTGATTTTTTAACAATATTATATTATTCATAATCCATGGCTTGAATTACATGTATCGTTTAAAAATGCACTTGAATAGCAACCGCAAACTACAAGCGACGTACTTGAGCCGAGGATTTCAGTTACAACGAAACATGATAAGTTCGGAGAAATAGGCGACTGCTTATGCTATTTTATTGAGATATTTCATCAATTAATCGGCAATTCCCTTTGACAACTGATTAGCTCTTTACCAAGAGGCTTTAAGACTGGGCGCTGCCGATTAAAGTGCAATCAAAATTCCTATTTTTTTTTTACCAGGAATTGGTATGAATCATATTTCTTAATTACGGAAATGTGGATATACGCAAAGATCTATGATTCTATTTTCTCTGAAATTAATGAATTTGCCAGGAAAACATAGCTGATTTGCTTACATTGCAACGTGTTTTTTTTTTACTTTTAATGTGGCGTTATTTTCAAATTTTGTTATGGATACAACAAAGAGGCTTAAAATATTTTCCTATTTATCGGTTACGTTAAGATTATACTTTTAGAGTTAAAACATAAGTTTCTGTCGAGAATTGAGTTTAATAGTTACACATATCATTGGTGCTGCTATTCAGCCTATTTCAAGCCATGATGTAAAATCATTGTTTGCATTGAGAACTGAACAATTAACAGAGCTTATACTAATCCTTGTTTTCTTTTTGTTATGATTCTCATTAGTCCTTCGAATAGGGAAAATTTTTTCCTTTAGAAAATATTAAAAGGAACCTAAATTATTTGTAAGTGCTATTATTAGAGTATGTAAATATATTAGATGTGTAACCGTGTACGTGTAAATGTGGATTCTTACAAATGTGAAAACGGTTTTCGTTTTTATTCTTTAGGAGTGAATGCGATAAATACAGAGTATAACTATACATGATAGAGTGATTCTATTGTATCGAGGCTTTATTACAAAATTAAAAAAAAAAGTAACAACATTCATTTTCAAAGAGCTTGTGCAATGGTTCACACACGATAGAAAATGAAAAGTAATTTTTACCACGTTTGATTGAAGAATAACTCGTCGGACCTATCTTGTATAAATAGTTCCTGATATTCAATAAGTACAATTTGTATATTATTCATACAATACATACGTGTATACGTTTCGTTCAGTGTCGCAGTTGTATTTATTAATCATTTAAGTCTTTGGGTATATTCGAGTAAAAAAGAAATTTCCGCGTGGGTCGGTCAATGAGAAGCGTACATCTGAATGGTACAACATAAATAAATTCCACGCGGGTAAGTCTATTTTAGCTCCTGACTTTATTATATCCAATCGTCGTTTAACAGTTTAATGGAGAAATCATCTTAAATATAAGTTAGGTGTAGGGTGCGCGTGCACGTACGTACTTAATACACCTTAATACACGCATTACACACGCGTGTACCCTTACGATGTACACTTGTGGAACGCGCGTAGACTGAGCATATGTAGGTACAATTTCAACCTCCATTACGCGACCTCGGTCCTTGACAAAAATGAAGTCCCCCCATTCAAGGACGAAATTTGTACACTTACTGACCTCAAAATATGAAATGCGCCTTATGTTCCCTTCTCATTCTATTAGCGTCCCTTTTTACTATTTAATCGCTATAACGTTTGGAAAATACCGGCAGGCTTAAAAAAGTCAGTTACAAAGAAGCACGTGCAGGCCCGAGTTGCAGAATTATCAAGGCAAATATTGTCGAAGGGGATATGTATCGATCGGTACACCACGAGCAGCCCACCCAAAGATAATCCATCGAATTATTTTAGGAGTAACGCTAACCCGAGCACCTGTACAGGTGCTACTTCCCATACCTACCCAAGATACGAAGTCCTCCCATATCTGTAGCACTCTAGGAATGCCTCTTATCGAATGCAGTCTGTCCTTTCTCCTTTCATATTTACTCGTTCTTTTTTGTTCAACAGGTCGACGATGACGTAACTAAATTCCTCCCATTTTCGTTGAGACGTCAGATGCACCGACGGATGTCGATCCACCGTCACCTGTCGAAAAATTACCTTCCATATGTAAGTGCAACGATTTCACGACATGTGTTCGGTATTAATAAGATAAATGATTTTAAGTGGTTTACACTTTTAATAGGGATTTATCGAGGGCTCTGTATCTTTGCAACCGCCGACTCCAGTTTTCTAGATGGCCCATACCCCATTGTCCAGGAAACTGGTTAAATGTTTCTCAGAACATGTTTTGTTGTAATCCTACATCGCGCTCGGTGTATGTACAGTGTGTCCAGGGCATGTAAGACACGTAAGACGAGGAACGCATCTTGCCTTCGACTGTTCCATTCGCGTTTGTCGAGCCACCTACACCTCGACTCCTGTCACGTTCAATATACACGCAATGCGCCTCCATTCATGTATATACGTACCATATACGTCGGCGCGGCATGTATCATCATCTCGGTGGTTTGGTCAAGCACACGGACCAACTGTGAATGAAATAGTTAGATCTGTCAGTGCCAACTATCGCTGCGTACACGCTGGAGTGTTTAGATCTTATCTGGCCCTCGTACCGCCATCGGAGAATTTCCGAAATTGCTGCGGCGCGAAAAATCGAGGATCCACCTAGCTTAAAAACTCCACTTTGAATTCGTTCTCGATCGTTCCTGGAGACGTTCCTTGACGAAAAATCGCAGAGGCAGAAACGGGGTGACATGAGTTCGCGATATGAAATCCGATTAATTACGGAAATCAATCCGTAGAGTCGGCGGATTTTGGATTCCCTCGACTCGATTTCGCGCGATCGAAGATCAAATCAATGAAAAGTAAAATCGAACCCAATTGTGCATATCGTATTACGTACTGCTCTTGCTGTTTCCACGTACGTTTAAAAGAATTCTTTGAAAACGGGTGTTAGTCGCTGTTTTTGGATTCCAAGGAGAATTTTTTACGTGATTTATTTGCGTTTAAAGGGACGATGAAGTAGATTCCAAGCCGATTTAGAGAATGTTAATTGAGTCGAAAATGCTACTTATCAAAGTTGTTAATAATTCTCGAGGGGAGAAATAATTCTAGTAAAAAGAGTGTTAATGAAAACGGTAGTGCCATACGATGCAAGGAGAAATTACAAATGGATTGTTAAAACCTTTCGATTTGAGGGGTTTATCCGATTGCCGGACTTTAACTTTGCCTTTAAAGTTTTCGAGGATTGCGAAGAAAAATTCTAAAGTGCTAAATAATAATTAATTATTATCCACTGGTGCAAGTATTGGTCAAAATGAAACCGCGCGGCCCACGAATATTTTGGTACAGCTGACCATTGATCAGGGTGAGTACTTTCGAAATTTGTTACAAGACCCTGATCCTTCTTTTCTTTTTCTAGAATAAAGACCTTACGTCGGTACGTCGTAATATTTATTTTTAACCCCGGACCAATTGCGATGGAGTCGTTTCGAAAACGTAAGGTTCTCCGAAGTGCATAATGCGATTAACGAAGATTGCATCCGCTTATCGCTGGCGGTACATTTTTCTACCGGTCCTCTTCCTCGATCGATCACAGACGAGCGTGTATCGAGAAATGTCCCACTCTGTTCCACGTGTCCCAACTTTTGGCGAGATGTATCGCAAACCGCTATTTTGGCGCAGGTATTCAAATTCAAATTTTCTAAACGTATACTTAGCATCTACGCATTTGAGTAATTGCCAGTTCGGCGAGGAGTGCAATACGATTTTGAAGTGTCCGAACGAACGCACCGACATGCTCTTCGGGTGATCTAAAGAAGTGGAAGCAGGAAGTTAAAAAGAAGTTTGGCCGAAAAATCAAAGCTGTGGCAAAAGTAATCGTGGTGTGTGCCGAGGTTGTCACGGCGAACACCCCTCGTCGGGCCATTGTTGGACCTGCACGGGACGGTGCAACAAAACCGAATCAATTTAAATTGGAAAATCACAAGCGGCCCAACTTGGGTAACGTCGGAATGTTAAAAGTAATTCTCACTGTCAACGGAGCTTGACCTCAATTTGGACTGATAGTGTGAAACAAAGGACGCATCCCGCACCTTTAACACACGTAACGCCATTAAATCGCCTTGACGTTTCTGTCCTTTTGCGATTCAGAGTACAAGGCGTAAATCGGTCGTTGCCAACGATTCCACATAAATCTGGAAGTTGACAAAAAATGACAAATTAAATTCCGCCACCCTGTGAGCTACTTTTTCGAATTAATCGCGTTAGGAGGAGAGGCCGTTTCTTCCACTCCTGGACGTGGCGGTCCTTTTCGTGGGTTTTCGTCAACCGTAAAATGGCGCAACGTGCGTGCACTATGCGTTCGCACTCGCAAATGGCCCTGAACATGGTTACAATGTCAATTACATGAGCTAACGTAAGCCTGCGACAGAGAGTGCACTAGGTTCAGTTTATAGGCATTTAACTTATCAACAGTGCCGCGCTCCCTGGTTAGCAACTCTGCCGATGGTTCGCGGCAAATCCTTCCACGAGTCTACCTTCGACAATTATTTCCCTCATTTTTTAAATCCTCCGTATTCTCCCTGGAAATCCATCGAAATGTCAGCAAGTAATCGCCGATCGAACGGTCAAGGGTATCGATGAAATCAAAAATCTCATTTTTTTCTTCGGGACGAGCACTTTAACCTTGCGCATATTCCACATTTCGATTTATAAAAATAATAGTTTGAAAAGCCACTTTGATCGGGTATCGTCCTTTCCAGTTTCCTAAAAATTGAAAGGGTTTTGGAGATCACGCTTTACGTCCCATCAAGGCACTTAGAGTCGTACCTCGATTAAGTAAATTTATTCGGAAGCAAGTAACGAGGTGTACTCCGTGCAATCCGCTCATGCGTCGATCCGCGCATGTATTCGTTACGCCCGGTCTAAGTTACTTCTGGTTGCACGTGGGTACGCGGGCTTTAACTCAAATTACCAGGAAATTGTTACAGATTTGAATACGAGGAATGCGTCCCAGTTACACAATTCTATTCGGGCCGTTCAATGTCAAAGTTAAATACTCGGAGGTCAAGCACGCCCTTTACGCAACCGGTGCTCACTGTCAAGCTTGGCAGGGAGAAATTCGCCGGTATCGTAAGACAGCACCTCGTCGGGCAAGGAAGTGAAAATCGTTAGTCAAGTCGCCCCGGAAAATGTAAGAAAAATTATTTCCGCTCGACCCTACATTTTTTCCAATCTCATCCCAAAAGCGCGTCCACGATGCGAGCTAGATATTCCTAATATTTGGCTGTTTTTCTTCCTCCAACATTTTTCCCCACATAAGTCGTATACCATCCAAGGTATTTGCGTTTCCCTTAAATGCAGAAATGTCCCATAAAAAAGAACGATTCGAAGGAATCGGGAGAACGGTGGCCCTGGAGCGAGATCGGCATCGAGCGGCCCTCTCGGTAATTCGGATCTTCGAGTACCAAGGCTCGCGACGCGAAGTGCAAACGTTTAACCGGGTAATCAGAAAAGTGGGCCTCCATGGATGTGACCTAGTCCAGAAGTTACCAGAATACAAATTGGCCTGCTACCGTCCGTACAGTGGTTGGTAGCTACCAGCCGATGCCGCTCCGTCACCATTACCCAACCACGCGAGTGCCGAGCTAACTACGCCCCGTAATCGCTTGTCGCGCGCGTGGAGACGCGCCAAGCGTTCGTTGCACTTGCGCGTGCATCCACGCGTTACCTGCGACATTTATTAAATCCAGGATTTCGTATCGATAGCGAAAGCGAGCGTTCCCGGGAAGCGATCCCTTTCGCGTTGCGCCCTCGGGGGGAGATTTTCCCGGCGCGGTTCACTTTTCAATTATTTTTCCCTGAAGTCCTCTGGAAAAATCTGCGGATGACGGGAACGTAAGTGTGCGGCACGTAAGCGCTACTATTCACACGCCGGTTAATTAGCCGGTAACGGTTGTGTACTAACGCGATGATCCGCTGTAATAGCCCTGACGCAAGCGTGACGTAGAACTGCTCCACTTTAGAAATGGGTCACTTCCTGAAAGAGAATACTTCCGTTCTGGTCATATAAGATTCAGCGTTCCGCCGTGTTGCCCCATTAGCGCGGATTCCGCAGCTTTTGGTTTCGCGGCCCAAGGGACGTCGACCGAGAACCCGCGAGAGAGCAGAAAACCCGACCGCTCTGGATAAGCGTTCCCGTCGGGGGATTTAAAAAGTTAACGGAGCGTTTGCGAGGCGAGGCAATTTTTTGCAACCTGGGTAAAACTCTCTAATTTCCCCAAATATGGCTGAATATAGGATCCAGGTGGGCGCCCGACCGATCCACCTTCAAAGGGAAAGTTAAGCGCTATCAAGGGACGCGTCCCGAGCATATCTAAATCATGTTTTAGCGGTCGCTCGACCTTCCTCGGGCAAATTCAAATTCGGTAACTTAATCGTCCTGGTCGGGAGACAAATTTATTCCGAGCTCCGACGTTTGATCCAACTCCGTTCTCGTCCGAGAAAGAGAGCAAACCAATCGCTTCTCTCGACATGTGGAGACGTCGATTCGTGACATGGGCATACAAATCCACATGTCGATGACATACTCACGAGGAACTTGCTTGCACGGCACGTGATATCTAGTTGAAGTGACGCAAGGCCCGGTGTATGTTTTTCGGAAAATTACGAAAACGCGTATTTAGAGTTGCGCCGCTTTCACGGAAATAATAACGTAGACCCCAGTACCCGCTACTCGAGGAAAATTCCCCCGAGAAGCTGGTGCGGAAATTTTTCTCCAAAATGTCTCTATCGGAGGAAATTGTCAAAATGGGAGGCAGACCGTATGTTTGCTGTTTCCCTCGTGCGTCGTAGGGTCCAATTAATCGATCGATCAAAAAATGGTTTACTGGAGCGAAAACGTCGAGGGTGCCACTTATCGCAGAAAATCCCAAGTGTCTTATCACGTGGCCGTCGAATCACGTGGACAGGGGTGCAGGGTCGCAAGCTCCGAAACTCATCGCTTCCATAAGGGATACCTGGAGTTATCGAGCACGCGTCTTCCCAGAAAACTTTTAACCGATATCCCGAATTATACCCTGGATTATATCCCTCCCAAAAAAAATATATCTTACTCCAAAATATTTACGAATATTATATAGAGTCTCGAAAGCGCGTCCGAGGCCGGCCTAGAGTGGTCTCGAGCCATCCCAGGGTAGGGATCGATAGAATCGCGTTTGCCCCGTGAGTTCGTCCTTCCCTATTGGTCTACCCTGTCTCCTCGAGGGTAGGATCAGTCGCGATGTAACCTCCAGACGAGACGGGCCCCCGGAGCGCCCTAGAGAACCCTCGACACCGATGCTGGACCCTGGGTGACCCCCGGACGTTCTTCACCCTCGAGGATCGCTCTCCTTACCTCGACGGAATCTGCCCTCGGATGTAAGATTTGCGCCCCGAATTTTTTCCTCGGCTACCCTCTTCATCGCAAAAGGGACGAGGAGAAGCGCCGGCCACGTGACCGCGACACGCGACCTCGCGACACAGAAATTTCCATCTTTTTTCGATCCGGGGTGTTTTGGCGGACCCAAGAACTCGTTTAAACCCCTCATCGGGGACATTTTCAGTTAAAAAATGTTATTTCTAGGTAGATTTTAGGAAGGAGGTCTCAGGTTAGGGCTGCGATCCATTTTCTAGATAATTTTAGAAAATAGAATTGTGCAAAGATAATGACGGAATAAAGTACTGGAAGGGTTAACGGAGATAGTAGGCGCGATTTTGTCACCATTCAGGACTTTTCGCCGGCGATCATTTTAATGCATTATTTTGATCTATTTTAGACTACTTAGCGATTTTTCTAATATTTTACAGCTACGTTGACATTACGTTGCGCATGCAGTATATCGTATCGTTGCCAACAGGTAGATAAGGAACGACGACAACGTTGACGTTACGTAGAAAATATCGCATCGACGTGGAGACGTCGAATTTTAATATTAACGGAGGGCTTCCGGAATATTTCGTGGCTTCGAGAACGCCCGAGAGAAGATATCGGTCAGAAGTTAAGGAGTGCACTTTTTCCAGGTCATGGCTACATAATATAGAGCTCGAGTAGACCAGAAGGGGTGGCCTGCATTCGCGACAATTACGTGAACGAGATACGTGATCCACCCGAGCGATTTTCATATATTTTCCTCGCGCGTTTCTCGATTTTAATTTATAAGAAACTGATCTCGATTTGCGCCGAAATTTTTCCAAGAGCTAGGGTGCTTTTTTCGCGTTGACGTTCCTCTCCTTTTTGGTCGCTTTTTTCCGTGTTTCTTTCGGTGGGATCACCGCGATACTCGTATCTTGGTCGAGATTTATGATAATTCGGCGTCAGTCACTTTAGCCGCTAGCGCCGAGACACTTTCCCGGTTACGCAATTTCGCGCTCGGCTTCTTAAATAACGCCGTGGAATCAACTCTTTAACAAATCTTATCAAGCTCGAGGGACAATGGTTATATATTGATAGCGGGTAGGCGCACGAGGCGCCCAGTTGTAAGATGATAGAGAGTCAGGTAGCCCATCCGGCGCAGCAGTCGACCGACAGACAGCCGCATCCATCGCTCGTCAATGTCAATGTCAAATTCGAGAAGTATGAATTTAAGGGCGAACCTTAATAATTCCGGCTCCGAGTTATCTTTGGAATACGGACGCGGTGAAAAAAAAATAAAACGCGAACGGGAAGTGACACGACGCGTCGACGCACGTGGCAAGACGAGGATCCGTCAGAGGGCTCGACGCGGAATACTTGTGAAAATAATTGCAAATCGTTCGAGATTCGCGTCCAGTAATTTTCTTTAACGCGGTCTCCTCGCTGAAAAATGTTGGGGGAATTTAACCGGCAGCTCTGCGTTCTGTCAACAGTGGGCAATGTAAGGAGCCTCTGCTGGGCGCCAAGCAGAATTCGTACAGGATGACACCGACGGGCGGCCGATCTCGCGCCGCCTCCGAGTCGAATCCAGGGATCTCCGCCAACGAGGAATGCGTCGAGGTGACGATCCTGGACGAAACCGGCGACGGAGGTCGACTTCCGGACGTCGTGGCCGAGAGCAAGCTCTACGGGTCGGAGGAGGAGCCCCTGGAGTCCTACCTGGCCATCACGATCCAGGTCTTCATCCCCTTCCTCATCGCCGGACTCGGCATGGTCGGTGCCGGACTCGTCCTGGACGTGGTGCAGGTAAACCCGCCGAAAGATCGTTACGTAAGGAAATTGCGAGAAAATCACCGGGAAAGCTGGAGACACCTCGACCTTCCACTAATCGCGTTACGTCGTCGGCCAAGTTCGCGTGGCGAAATCCTGGACGGTAGTGACCTCGAGAGGGTCTCCGATGAAGATTCGAGATCGATTTCGCCCCGCTCGGTCAAGGGTCGAGGGGTGGAATCGGAAGGGAAGAGGCGAGGTCCGGTCTCGCCATGGGAGACCGGGACTGCGATCATCGATTTAATGGGAGCGGAGTGCACTCAAGTTTTAGCGCAAATTGGCGTTGCCGGTGCATCGGGGACCGTGTCTTTCGGTGAACTCGCTGCGGACGTAATTGCGCTCGAGGGTTATTTTTGGAATGCAGGACAAGGGCCCGAAAGGTCGCACGGAACTGTTACCCTTGACCCGGATCGGCCCTCGTTCTTCCGGTTTGTCCAATCTGCCCGGGACGTTTGCAAGAAATGCGCGCTTACTTTCAGCATTGGGTAGTGTTCGAGAAGGTGAACGAGCTGATGATCCTGGTGCCGGCTCTGTTGGGGTTGAAGGGAAATCTGGAAATGACCCTGGCCTCGCGACTCTCCACCCAGGCAAACCTCGGACACATGGACACGCCTAAACAACAGTGGTACATGATCGTCGGGAATCTCGTATTAATTCAGGTGAGCGGAATTTTCTTCCCTTTTCTCCTCGGCGTCGCGTGCCCCTCCGTAAATCATTCCCGGCGATGGAAAGAGCTCCAGGAATTTATGTCCTGGATTCGGCCGCTTATTTATAGAACGTCTTATGCGCCCAAAATGTGCGGCAGCGTGCCGCGTTGTTAATCATTCTTATCTTTCCCGGTAAACGCATGTAGGCGACGTGTGCCCTCCGGGCGAAGGTTCAAGTTCAGCCTCGGAAACAAAACGAAACGCTTATAAACACGGCCGAATACGTTTTCGCGCGAGCAAGATAATCGTTAGGTTCTTAAATTGGCAGAAAAAGGTTATCGTCTAACCTAGTCGTCGCGGCGACGTTTGGAATTTATCTCCTCGGTCTAGAATCGAAGGTAGGCGAGCGCGAAGCTCTCGACGAAACGAGAACCTTATCAATGGCGCCGCACTCGATTTCGCTATGTATTCATGGGCGATGACGTTAGACGGCCTTCGGAATCTTCGCTTGTTTGCCAGGATCTCGCGTTCCTTCGAGCAGAATATTCCGTGTTTGGTTAATAATTAAAACTGTGTTTGATTAATAATTAAAACCGTAAATGATAAAGGTACTGCGTGCTCCTGTCGCTAGACTCGTGTATTTTTGAATTTACAGATAGCGACGGCGTCTCCGTATTTTCAGTTCCCTCCAGGGACCGCGGAAATTTATGACGCTCCAAATTAATAACAACGTGGACTTCTTGGCGAAACTCCGTCTTTTAGAATTAATAAATAGATAACGATAGGAGAGAAACAGCCGTGAGCCCTTATCCGAGGAAAATGTGCGATATTTAAAAATCCTTTGTTTTTAGGAATCTAATGGGGATTTTGTTTCGACAGTGCCAGGCCATCGTGGTCGGCTTCCTGGGGTCCTTGGTGGCCATCGTGATGGGAGCGTTTCGCAACGGAACCGTTTCCCTGGATCACGCCTATTTATTGTGCGCCAGTAGCTTGGTCACCGCATCCTTGGCGTCCTTCGTCCTTGGATTGATAACCGCGGGAGTGATCGTCTTCTCCCGCCACTGCCACATCAATCCCGATAACGTGGCCACTCCGATAGCGGCCAGCCTGGGGGACATCACCTCCTTGGCCCTCTTGTCCTGGATCTCGACGGACCTGTACGAGTCCATCGACAAGCACGATTGGCTGGCTCCTCTGATAATCGCGTGCTACGTCCTCGTCACGCCTCTCTGGGTCTGGATCGCCAAAAAGAACAAGTACACGAACGACGTCCTGTACTCCGGGTGGACCCCCGTCATGGTGGCCATGCTCATCAGCAGGTAAGGTCGCTCGGTCGCGTTTTCCCCCTCTTCTTCGAATTTAACGTTTCGAACGAATTCCCAGCTGCGGGGGCCTCATCCTGGAGTTCATGGTGTCCCGGTTCGAGAATCTCACGGTGTTCCAGCCGGTGATTAACGGCGTGGGTGGAAATCTGGTCGCGGTGCAAGCCAGCAGGATTTCGACGGCCCTGCACAAGCAGGCCGATCTCGGCACCCTCCTCATCCCACCAGGCCAGACCCACCCGGTGATCTTCATCACGCCGATCGCCAACTTCTTCGGCAAAGGTACCCCGTCTAGGAAAAAAATTCCTTGGAGCTTCCTCGATCGTTCGCTGATCGCGATTCCTTTGATTTTAGGCATGCACGCGAGGACCACCAGGGTCCTCATGGCGATGGTCATCCCGGGCCACATAATATTCATCTACATGATCAACTACATGAAGGACGGCGAAACTTCCCTGACGCCGCTCTTCGTCTTCGTGTACCTCTGCGCGGCCGTGCTCCAGGTAGCGGCTCTGCTTTACATCGCCTTCATCATGATACATTGGATGTGGAAGAGAAAGATCGACCCGGACAATTCCGCCATCCCGTACTTGACCGCGATGGGCGACTTGCTGGGGATCAGTCTTTTGGCGATCGCCTTCCAGTTCTTGTACTTGGTCGGCGACCAGGACTTCGATATACCCATCAAGCCCTAATTCTAAGGTGAGTCCAGACTTTCGATCGATTCTTCCCGATCCGAGCTCGAGGCATTTTCTCAAATCGACTTTTTCCAGATTTCCGGGTTCTCGAGAACGTACCGCGTATTTATTCAAGTGGAGACGACAGACTGGGAGGGACGTTCCTAAAAGGCTGTGGCCACGAGAAAGTACATGTCGGGTGACTTGTCGACTTTAAGGATCGTTAAAGGCCGGGTCGTTTGTACGCAGAGTACACGGGGAACGGGTATACGTCCATGCTTGCGTTAATGAAAACCGCATGACGGAAGGCAGAGAGATATGCTTGCTTTCGACGTCACGAGTCAGGGAGGATACGCTCGATGAGTTTCGTATCGACGAGGAGGTACTGCCCGATAAACGCAAGGTGAGGCAAAGACGGTATTGCCGGGCAAGGTGGCAGGGCCTCGATATCGCGCCGTAATTTCATTATTTGTGCCACCTTGCGTTTATCCGGAGCAGCGTCAATGCCAAACGCGAAATGCCGGTTTCGAGTTCATACTTCTGTGAAGAATTGAGCAACCGTTGCGAAACCGTACGTGTAAAAATGTTTAATCCACCAAAGACGGTTTACTTGGTAAAGTCCGAGTGATGGCTCACTCTTGCGTTATCAGGTTCCGGTAGGTTAATATCTATTATTAGAATTATTACGGAGAGAAGTCGCAACGCGCGATTAGGTTACGGAAGGAAGTCGGCGGCAGGATGTTGTACAAATACGTGGTTAAATATCATGCCGAAGGATTTTAATTCGACCCGGCCTTTAAGGACGAGATCTTAACGTTAAGGTCCTATCCGTCTAAGCCCCGCGGATTGACGAGGAAAAGTCTCGGCGTGATTGCCTCCTTTTGTCAATAGAAGTACCTGAGTTCGTTCGCTGCGAAGCATCCGGCCTCGGTTTTGTGCGGTGTAGGGTTTCTTCGGACCGGGAGTCCAGAAGGAGTCTACGGCGTGAAATTTCATGCCAGTTCATGACGCAGAGGGGCTTGGAAAATCTTGGAAAAAGACGAAGACGGGTCGAGGGAGAGTTCCGTCTTACGGATACGCGGAAGCCCCTGAAGGATCGGTGACGTTTTATTCAAATCGGAGGTCGCCTCGTAATATTCCTTGGAAGAGAGAATTTTTTTTAGTCTTCCGAGGTAGGCGGGTGAACGTCTCACGAGGGTAGGGAAATTATGCTCGGATGTAAAGCACTCGGGTACGCGTGTCTTCGAATAGTTGCCTTTGTAAATACATGACTAAGCATGGACAAATGACGAGTAATTGTCGCGCCTGTGCGTTCTATTTTTGAAATCGCTAAGAAAAATGGGAAGGAAAAAAAAGATAGAGATACGTCAAAGTTCGATTACCGCGAAAGTTATGCTTAAACGTTGAACCGGACGTCTTGCGGATTTTCGATTTCGAATCCTTTTCGCCAGGGATGTTCGCCACTCTTCGAGGCTCAGTGCTCGATTTCGTGGAAGGAAACGAAGCTGCTGTTACAGGAATCGTCATTGCATTTATATTCCGTAGATATCCGCTGATTTTTCTACGCATCGCCACCTAAACGTTGAAAGTATTAGTTACGCCATTCGCTTTAGGAATGAAATTTCAACAACTCGTTTTGTATCCCAACTTCTCTCTTTACCGTTCAATTCTTTCTTCGTTAACGTCCCGAGCAACTCTTGCAAATCGTGCAACGCGCACGAAAAGTGTAATGAAATTCCGCTAGCAGTAAAAATGTAGCTTTCGAGTTTCTTTTATCTCTTGGAATTTAATCGTGCTCAGTGGTTTCGCGTTTTTCTTTGTCGTTACTCGGTAGGATCGTATGTTTTTATACGCAGTTTTATAATCAAGATTCTAAGTTGAATCGAACGATGCGTGTTACGAAGTTGTAAAAACGAGTGGTTCCCCTTGCCCCTCCTGGAACGCGTTACAACAAAGCCTGTAGATTTTTTTAAAGCACCGAACCACTTCGTGCATAAATGAAACGTCCGTTATGTTGAAGAAGCACTGTAAATACGCGTACAATGCACACCGCGAATATTTATAAATACCGTTCCGAATGACTGATATTACTATTTTGCAGAGAAAAGCCTACGAGAGAGACTCGTGATACTTATTTTCACGATCCATAGTTGAATATCAAATCCGCTGTACGAACAAAGGTTTTTTCTTTTTTACATACATTAATGGCGAAAGAGTATGCGAAGTATATAAAGATGATTGTAATCGATTAGTTAGGAAATGTCAATGATTAAGGAAGACTTTGAAGATGAAGATCTGCAGTAGAAAGTCGGCGATAGTCGTAGCCAGGAAGTTTCCATGAAAAATTTGTTAGTTATTCCTTGTATAGTTGTCGAAGGTGTCATTTAGGTAGTACGATTTCCGTTCACGTATCGATCTGCATGTAACGAAAAAAAAAGCCTATCGACTCAGAGGTTCCTGCGTAGCAAATCTAGTCTTGAAGAAAAATCGTGAACTCTTAATACTAAAGTTATTGCCTGTTAATTAGTGCACCGCGTGGCGGGAAACCGTGTTACATGCCTTTAAACATTTTGTGTTGCAATTGTGTACAATTAATTAGAGCTACGGATGTCTCGTAGATCGATCAACAAAAATCCGCGCCTGTATCGTATAAAGGGCTTAGAAGGAATGCTAAAGGAAAACGTCTAAATCGTCGTCCTGTAAATGTTGATCTCTGTCACATTTTGTATCCACGATTGTGATCAGTATTACGGATATTTAATTTTTCATCTTTATGATCTCTGAATATTTCGTTGCATTTTTTTTTTTTTTTAATGAAGTTCAACCCTTCCGACTCATTCGCTTTTTTAAGGCTGGAAAATTATGCACCACGAGGGAAGTAGTGAATTCGGTTAATAAGTGGATGCAGGATGAGACAGAAATTCGTGTTCGTGTATATATTATAAATAGTAAATCCTTTGTATCATCCGACAACTAGAAAAAATTGTTGCTCTCGGTGCTGTAATGTCGTGGGGTATGTGCAACGTTTTAACATGATTGAGGTGACATCCTTCAAGATATTGAGGAAATTTTTGCCCGTTTTAAAAGTAATATCTGTACAATTGTAATTAGTGTATGTTTATCGATGAATGTATTCAAAGAGTTTCGTGCCCATTCCGATGCATGGAAAACGTGAGGAGTGTTATTAATTTTAACGTCCATCGCTGCCTAATATTTCTAAACGGCCTTTTCCGCGTACTTGACGAATTTCAGCACCTGTTATTTTCTGTATTATCCGAAGAATCAAATATTTCAGAATACTCAATTGCTGACAATAACATATCTAACAGGGGTAACGTATTTTTAGATAGATGTAAACGGTCCGAATTGCCCCGCGAAGCTGGAAAACTGTTTTTAACGTTAAAAAAAAAGATGAAAAATTTCTGGAAATTTTTAATCGGTTTCTCAGGAATTTACTTCGGCAAACTTTTATGTTTCTAAGAAATATAAAGCAACGTGTCAATCGATGACGGCAGTGATCTTAGCTTTCAATTGTAAATTGTTGAAATTGTAGGCTAGGCTAATAAAAGGAAATAGACTTTTACCTACTGAGAATTGACGAATTTATTTCCAATTCTATTTATGTAATGTATTATCCGAGCTCGCACTGCGCATCATAATGAAATCAAAAATTGAACGATATTAAGGATTATCGATAGATTAACACATCCGATGCCGATGTAATTTACTACAAATTAATCGAACCAGACGATTTATATTTGTCACCATACAGTTCGAAGGGGGATGCGATCGAAGCAAGGTGTACAATTTGAAACAAGAGGTACTTTTGTAATAAGCAAATAATAAAATTATGTACATAATCGTGACTGTCCTACTTTTACATCTAAGGAAATGTCGATATCACCACATCACATCGCAACACATCAATGAAATATTCTGGTTTGCGTGGAAAATTAAACTGCAAAGGGTGGGATTAATAGCGAACAAATACTGGATAACTTATTTCGTCACTTTAATGGTCTAAAATATAAATAGGTAACGAAGTACAAAAATATTAAATAGAAACGTTAAGAGAAGTAACGACCGATATCAGTGATACGACAAGTGGCGTAATCACGACATTGTCCGGACTCGATGTCGCCCTGTATTTTTAATCACCCGAATCAAAGACAATGCACATCCGACAAGAGTTTATTTACGCGAACGCTTAGGCCTTATTCGATCGGTGGAAGGCTAAAAGCGCGACTATCCTGCAAAATAATTGTGCAATCATAAATGGCATATATTACATATTTATACATGAAAACTATAATACATACGGCAGTACAATCGTGTAATACTATTCGGAGAGTCGTAAACAAAATACAGGGGAGTACACCGTTGTGCAGTTTTTTCCTTACAAATTGTCTTCAGATTTTCAGAAGTTAATCGCTCTTTTATTACACCTTCGCTTCTTCCTTAACTTTCCACAGGATAAGTTCCATGCAAGCAACGGCATCTTCGTTGCTGTCATGTCCACCTACTGCGATAAGGAAAAAAAAAAAAAATGTATTACAAAGTAACAATTTAAACAATTTTCTCCGGCATTACTTACCATCGTTCTGAATGATTTTACGCAAATACTCGGAACAAAGGTTTTTTAATGCCCTTTTATGGGGATAGCCATTTTTGTGAGGAAACATAACACTGGTATCAACGACTGTTTCATGAATCAATTTTAATGCCTTGAAATCACTTTCGAGGCTGTGTCCCACTAATACCGTTTTATCGGAAAACATTGTGAGCAGGGTCGCCTGCACGTCGAGAATTGTGGTAGTCACATCTTTCATGTTTTCCTCGGTAATTCCTGAAAATCTGTAAGAAAAATAATAAGTACTCTCTTATCGACATATTAAATGATATCACTAGATAGGAAAATTGTTCACGGTTCTAGATCGACGCCGTTAAATATTTTGTAGGAGCAGTCCAAGATATTCATTTCTGTTCCTTTATGCCATAACGTCTTCAACGCGTTCCGATTGGTTTACGGTTTAATCCACCAATCGTTGATAACCTACATTACCTTGTATTATAATCGATAATAGGATTTTCAGGCTTGACCAACGTTTCATAGATAACGTTGCAATCTTCATTGATAACAGTTACTCTAGTGAGTTCCAATCCTTGTGTCGTGTAACACATTTCGCAGTCAAGTGCGTAAACACCCTGTTTCTCGTCAGGGCCATCTAAAGATAACGACAAAAAATTAACTCTTCTCTTCGAAGAAATGACATTAATAAACAAAAATTAATACTTCCCCTTACCTTTGGGTAACGTCTTAACGTAGCCTCGCAGGTTCTCGTAATCAACATAATCCCATACGTGACTTTTGGCATCGCAGCAACCAGAGGCGGAGCCATATTGCTGACAACAGCTGTACTTCCCCTCGCCCCTAATTGTAAACTTTCTTCCCCAGTGGAATATACAGTTCTGCTGCTGAACTGCCATTCCAGTTTTGTCCACCATGTAAGTCTGACCGCACCGACTACAGAATCTTTCGTTAGGCACTTTGGACAATATCGTCTGGTTCCGCGTATTCGTGACGTAGACCTTAGCTCGCCCCTGCAATAGTTGAAAAATGGCTTAATCATCGTCAACGCTCTTAAATGAATTTCACAAGGAATCAGTGGACATTCGCGAAAGAAAGTGGCGTACGGTTGGTCCATCCGGATGAGGTCTTGGATAACCATTGTCTCGCAATTGTTGCTCCGTCAGGATCCACTTTCCGAGCATCATGTACAACGTGGTCCCTTTAATATCGGTAACGGCTCGTTTAGTTTTCACCACGCTCCAAGATCCCCGTGACTTTCCAGCAAGGACGAGTTCATGAGACATCATTCCCGAACTTGGCGGTGCGGAATTTTCATTCGACCGCTGATCTATTTCCTTCCGCAGCCTGTGAGCTGCTAACATGCAGGAGCTTTTGTACACGGCCACAGCTTTACACCGTTCGTAGCAAGCGAATTCCTCCTGGATAGCTCGCTGCGCCGCGTCCTCTCCACTCGTGTAGATCTGCATGCATATGTCCTGCATCATGTTGACGTAATACTGTCTCACGTTCAACGAGAATTTCTGAGTCGAACTTTGAAGTGGTTCCGGACGAACGAGCTGCGGTACCTAAAAGTGATCGATTATGTGATTGATAAGAAATAACGTTCATTTAAAAAAGGAAAAATAATAAATTAATAAGTACCACTTGAGGAACGTGCGCGACCCGAGAGCCACCCTTGGAGGTTTGAGCTGTCGTTCTATTGTCTTCTGCCACCTTTGGTGCAGAGTCGGGAACTCTCTTTTTGGTCACAGCGATAGACATCGCGTAGGGGACATGGGCGATTCTAACTCGACCTAGATTATAACGTGATACGATATAAAGATAAACAGTTTTGAAAGAAATACTTCGATGAACCTACCGTTTTCAGACTGCGGGGTTTGTTTAATGTTCCCTGTAGCGAGTGGCGCTTTGGTAGACGACGCTGTTGGATTGACAGCTGTATTTTGGGAAACGGGTGCTACATGGGTATCTAAGTCGCCTTGCACTTGCGTCGCATTCTCATCTGCTTTTTTCGCTACTTGTTCCGCCGCAGCTTCTTTCATTAATCTCCATCTCTCGTACATGCGCTGTTGAGGGTTGGTAAGTCTCTTCGGTGGCTGAGAGGGCCCGACTTGTCGGACCACTGAAGTCTCAGCCGATGGGTGTGCAACCCTCTTCTTTCCATGATCTTCGATCACCTGGGAAACTTCTCTTTTTGGTGGTTCTTTGACTTCTTTAGGATGATCTGAAACTTCATATTCCTAAAAGCAATAACACCCTTGATAAGATAATTTGCCTTCTAAAAAAAAATGAATTTATATATTGCCCGAATACCTGAAATATTTTTAAGCACTCTTCTTCTACATCATGATCCGACTCGGATTCTGCCAAGATGTCGTCATCCAAAAATGTGGATAAACTATTCCATGGACTGTTGGATTTATCTTCCTGATCGGTTATGATTCTCTCTTTACTACTGCTCTTTCTTCTCTTGGATTTTCTGCTTGAGTTTCTAGATGAATGATTAGATCGAGACTGTCTCTCTTCCGAGTTCTTCTCCAATGAATGCTTCCCAGTCTTAGAGCTTGACGAGCTTGACTTATGCCTATGTTTCTCCGAACTACTTGACTTATGACGATCTTTATTGCTTTGCTCTTCTTTCAAGGAAGTACTCTTATGAGAGCTCGAATTATGCTTAGTCTTATTGGAATTGTCTTTATCGCTTCGAGAACTCTTATGCTTATCTTTATCTTTATCCTTGCTGGATGATGAAGATCTTTCTCGTTTTTCACCATGCGAAGAATGTTTGTGCTTCTCCTTGCTACTTCTCTCATGATGACTCTTATTTTTTAACTCCTTATCGCAATCCTTGCTGCTTTTATGATCTCTTTTAGACTTTTCGTTGTCATGCTTTGATTCACTATTTGAAGTCTCTTTGGATTTACCTTTATGTTTTTTGTCAGAGTTTTTATGATCATGTGAATGCTTATTATCACTGTCATGTCTTCCCCTGTTAAATCGATCGACACTTTTATAGCCATCTTTTTGAGTATTGTCAGATTTTTCTTTGTGCTTTAAATCGCGCACAATTTCATTTATAATTTCAGCCTTAATATAATCATTTTTATTCTCCTTTTCTTCCAAGCTTTTGCTTGTATTAATATCTTCTTGTTCCATTGGTTTGTCATCACCAGTATTATTATCTGCATTGTCATCAATTGGTTCCTCGTCTGAAAACTTTGGTTCTATATCCACGATGCCATCTTCAGAATCGTCACTACCGGGAACATAGGGACTTGAACTATCAGCTATAACATCATTGATCATTGGATAATTTGATTGAAAATTCTCCAAAATCTTATCATCAAACTGTTCCATATTTTTTAAAGGGGCTTTGACTTTTCTAGGCACATATTCCTCTCTCCTTTTCTTTGACTTAGGATAGTATGCCTCTTTTATTTTTGACGAATAATCACTTGAGTTACTACCATCGTACGAGTTTATAGGTGATGAAGAATCAAACTTCATCGTTGGAACATAACCTTGAATTACTGATCCATCGCTAGAACCACTGATAGCGGTTGGTTTATAAGTAATTTCAGCCTCTCTAGGACTATCCGATTCTTGTAATGTATGTGTACTCCAGGGTTTACACCTTTCTGGTGAACTTTTGCGTTTTACTGCAACTCTATTTTCCCTTGTAGGCATATACGAAGCTACTGGGATATGTCGCTTCTTTAATTCCGCAATAGGTGTTGGATTATAAACGCATGGAGTATGCTTCGGCACCGATGGTGGTACACCGATGTGTTTACCAATCAAGCTTGGTACAACAGAGTTTATGGAAGCAGCAGAGGTAGATGCCAATGAATGCGACGTTAAACTAGGCTTAAGTTCCTCTACCACTTTAGTCACTATAGTTTCTGAAAACTTCTCAGTATTCGTAACTTCTTGTTGGGCGAGAACTTTTTTCACAGCCTCGGACACTAATTGTTGTAACATATCCGGACCTGAATTAATACCAGAGGTGGAGGATCCTCCGGCTTTGTTCCCTGCCACCGCTTGAACCGACGTTGATCCAGCCACAGCAGGTAGTCCTGCTGCATCTTCTGTAAAGCAACGATATTAAAGGTTACATAATAAATAATAAAAGTGACTAAAAACATAAACCTCATAATCATATTTTACAAACACCACTAGGGCCATATGTGTACAGTGGTTCAATGATCAAAGTAAAAAATTCAGTATGTACACAAAACATTGCAGTATACAGTAATCATCAAACTTCTTTGTTCAAAGTTAAATCTCTTAGAGTGAACATTATCCAACAAATAAAACTTAACGGAACAATACTTATCTCATAGCGAAATATAATAACAATAGTCTTGGCAGGTATGCTATGGTATTTTCTATGAAAGGGAAGCTAAACTAAGATAGGAAACTTTGTAGGTTAGGATCCCGAACTTAAAAAAAAGGTGGTTAGATTATACCTCTTCGAGCATGTTTGAAGTGACAGTAGGGCCTATCGCAAGATCCGCTCTCGTAAAACGGGCAATTGATAGTTTTGAAGTAACCAGTCGAGGGAAGCATAACTGGTTTATCGTAATTCCTTCTTTGTGCACCCCATCATTGAGCGACGTCGGCCCCGTCCTTCAGCCTTGAGTCAGGCGATAACTCCTGGAATACGCATGTTCCCCACTAAACCGGTTATGCAAGGAAGGTAGACGATCCTTTGTGGATGCGGATTGTTGCGGCCTACTGCGGGCAATTGACCGATCGACGAATTTCGACTTTTCTTTGAGGTTACATCCACTACGATCATAGGTAAATTTCCCACTGCCTACGGCGTGCAGAGCTGTGCAAAGCAGAGAAGCTTCTCTGCCTCGCTCTGCCTTCTCTGTTTCTCTCGGCGGCGCAGTTTTTGGACTTTAAAATGTCAAAATACATTGATGGGATGGCACGGAGTGATTCATGAAATCATGTTCTCGTGCTGCTGTCTTGTGCGGAATCTCCAAGAAACATATACACTTCTCGTGGCCATCCGAGGTTGGGTAAATAAAATAGAGAAGATTCCTTTATTTTAACAAGTCGCTGCCGCCTAACGTCTCTTCACCAAAATTTTTCTTCGTTTAGTATGAACACGCACCTGGCTCACGTTAGATCCAAACATTACCTACAAATGTCATAACTCCTTTGGTATCAACAATAGAGGAAGGAAGCTAAGAACGAATAAAAATTTATTGATATAATTTTGTCACAGTGGTATCGACATTCAGAGTGACCAATATTTGAGCGTATGAATTGATCTCTCTTGTATCTCGAAAAGAATTATCTTTTCCGTAGCTGGACTTTTAACTTCTACAGGAATTGCCTCGTCGTGCCTGTAATGGGATACTGCATTAGATTCAAAATCAAGATCTAACAATAAAAATGTGAACCATTGAAATACGTTACGGGTTAAATAATATGACGATCGTGGAATTATCTGGAGCAAGAAAAGCTACATGTAATACACTTTGAGTTTCGCTTTCAACATAAAGCCTAATACTTCCTTCTGGTAAGAATTTGCTGAAGTGTCCAAGTATGTAAAACTGTGGTTGCTTGTAAAATTCGTCACCTTCCCTAAAAGGAAAAATAAAATAGGTATCTAGAAATGTCAGTGGTAGTATATAGACTTACAAATTAACTATTATGTTTGCATCGGCTGATAAAGACGAATGCCAACAAGGTCCTCCTGTACGATCCAATGCTAAATTCCAGTCCAACCATCCCGAGACCCAATGATTTAAGTTCTGCATTAATATTACAATTAATTATAGTAATTCAAAGTTATTCAAGTGGAATAAAAAATGTGATTTCGATTTGCCATTACCTCGATGATGTTTTCGGCATACTGTTCAGCGCGCTCCCAGGATCCAAGTTGAACTTTATGATTTGTGTTATCGTTAACTTCTAACACTCCTGGATTTGCACCTATATCCATGAATATACATCATTGACTGACATTGAATCATGCCATATTCTGCACGAGGCATTCGCATATAGATTATATTTCTATCTATTTTAATTAAAAATATTTTTGCATGAAAATCAATGACAGGTGACTATCTAAACTTTATCGGTAAAGGAAAAAAAAATGCAACATCGATTAACCTGTCGAAGCTTCCGTTATCAGGAGAAATAATTCAGGATAAAGTTCGTGACATAAATCTAGATTCTCGGATGGTACCAGAGTGTCCATGTACCAATGAACCCCAACACCATTGATGAATTTCTTCGTTTCATTGTTCATCCCAGACATCTTAAACATCTATAAAGTAAGGTTCTTAATTAATATTGAATAGTTCATCGAAGTTGTTTAAACACCATATATACGAAGATTTTTTTCGACCAACCGAATAAAGAGACCAGGGAATTAAGTATCGATTGTCGTCAACGGTGATGATCATAATTCGTTTATAAGGGGAAGAGCGCACGGTAGGTCCAAGATATTTTCCGATAAATTGAGCCATGCCTCTGCTCGTCCAGCCCATACTTGGAGAATGTTCGGTCTCGACGAGTCCCTTACTCGGCCGATTTTGCGTAGAAATACCCCAAAAATCGACACCGTGCATTCGATACTCTTTCAAAAATCTGCAACAGAGTACAGGTATTAATGGCACGTTGTCGAATTTTCGTAATATCCATACCAAACGTATGAAGTGGAAACATAGGTGATTTGCATGCAATACTCTTTAATAAGATTTATTTTACGGTGACACGTAACGGTGTACCGACCTTACGAAATAATCTGCCCAAACTTGGTAGTACTCCATTCGTAACATACCGTACCCCGTCAGATTTTTATTTGTTTTCATCCAAGAGGGTGCACTCCAGGGAGTAGCGAGTAATTTTAATTTACCGCTCGTTATCTCGTAGACCTTTTTAATTAACGGGAGCTGTGGGAAGGTAATAATTATCATGCTATATTTTTTCATGGGTGTAAAAATATGGCGGAGTGCTGCTAGAGCAATACGCAACATGCGCATACTTTAAAAAGAAAATCTTCTGGCTGGAGTGCGAAGTACTTGAGATACAAATCACCAGGTACATCGGCATAACTGTAATTCCTTTGGGAGAATTGACTGCAGCCAATCGGAACGCGGCCCATGTTCAATTCAATTCCTTCAAGGCCATAGTAAGATCTATTTTTTAAGTAGACATTTTAATTACCATGGGTAGCATCGTACATATTTAATAAAATTAAAATAGTAACCTAAGTAAGTTTTCTCTGGTCCCTTCGGAGAGGTTTATTAAATTGTACCCAGCTGAATCTGTAAATGCTGTACCGAACCCAATGACGGTTTGATATCGTCTTTCCGGGTGCACCATAAATTGTACGACTGCGAACAAAACGGTCAACATTATTCGATAATTTTTTCGTTGCGTCGGTTACAATTTTTTTTAAATCTATTCAATTATTTTTAAAAACGCTCGCCTAACGTCGATTCTACTTTACCTTCATCCGTGGCGTTATCAATGGTCTTGAATTTCCCAATCGTTCTTTCCAGCCGTAGGCCGGCTTTGCTCGTCGAATAAAGTACGTATCGACCTCGAGAATGGCTCATGGGAAGCCACGGTTCTATGGTGTCACAATACGAAGAATTACAAACGCAAACCTGACTGCCACCGAAAAAATCCCTTCCCATGCAGGGCTTGTAAACGCCGAAAGTCGTAGCTAGCGCTCTAACCGCCCAACAAACCGAAATAAATAATACCGAGGGCAAGTACTTACACCCGACACTCGCATCGGTAGGCATTTTACTAATTACCGTCTCCATGCCTTTCTTCCACGATTGACTCGCCGTTATTACGCTTCCGAGAATTTAAATATTTTCTCAACTCGACCTACGAAGACAAATGGCGCGATCGAAGCTTCAACGAGTAGGTACCATTGCGAAGAGGTATGTCCATTGTTTCCATAGAATGCGGTAAAATTAATTAAACTTGGATCATCAATTTCTCGTGCGATTCGGCGACCTCGATGTTGCATGAAAAACCTTTCGCTAATTGCAAATGGCTTTTGGGTTGATTCGGGGTTCTGGGAAAACGATTCCAGGATAATAGGATAATTCGACCTTATTTATAGGCCGAATTGATCGGTGCGGAGGCAACGGTTCTCTCGATTCGGCGATTCTTTCCGCGGGGTTATATAATGACAAAGGGGAAACCGTGTCAATAATCATTGGAGGGTAGAAATTGGGTTACGCGGTGACTGCGAGGATCAATCCAGCCGCGTGCACGACGGTACGTCGGCACCGAAGGCCAAGTCTTTCCTTGACAACGGATAGCTCAGGTCGAAAAGGACCCTTCGCTGGCTCATTTTCTCCGCTGCATAGCCTTCTTAAGTATCGAACAATTCCGTTGTCAGGCAAATAAACATCTGTTCCAGCGTCGAGCTCCGACCTCGCAATGAGCGCAGTTTCTCGCGGCCCCCTCGAGAGATTCGTGCACCGGCATTTATTCCTTCCAACGTACCTGTAACCCAATAAAAGAAAAAACGTTATGACGATTCTTTCAAAACGTCGCTCGTTGTTCTATGTATTAAACCAATTTAGCTATAAAAATACGTACACATAATGCACAAGTAGATGGAACAATGACCGTACCTCTCGAAAATGAACGTAACGTAATGTCACCTCGCGTTTCCAACACGTCTCGGCCCTATACGGTAAGTTATTCAACGTGATCGTTTCCCCAATGTTGATACGTCTTTTTTTTTTAGCAGCCGAATGTATAGTTATGGAAATATCGTCTTCGGATCCAGGCAAGCGACAGAAATGTTGCGCGCATTGTCCGGGGGCCGTGACGATCTCCCAAAATCGAGACGAGCATTATTGCAGCCTTCCGAAATACGTATCCGGGAACCTGAAACTTTCGTCCCTGAGGAAGTACTCCCCCGGAGAAAAGGAACGCGAGGAACGTCTGAAAGCGAATCCGGAAGACCAGATACCCGTTCGCTTTTCCTCGTGCTACGACAATTTTGCCCTGGCGAAAAAATCCTTCCGGGAGAATTTGGACCACCAGCCCTTGCCCGATAGAGTCAGCGACAGCGTTTTCACGAACGCGAGGCGCAGGTTACGACCCCTGTCCCCTGATGATATCATCGAGAAGTGTCAGCGAATCATGCCCAGGTGTACAAGGGACTCCGAGAATCGTTCGGCGAGCGGATACGGAGTCGAGCTTGGCTGTAAAAAGCCGATTACCCATATGGATTTGGCGATTTGCTGGAACACTCCGATCGATCCGAACTACGAGCCCAATAGGTAGTTTGATCCTCGACCCTCGGGAATTTAAATCTAACCATTTCACCCTTTCTTATATCTACAGGCCGGTTCACATCGATGGATCGGACGGTGGTCCGGCGCCTGCAATTTTCACCTTGGTCCAGCATGCCTCGGAGATGCCGGACAACGAGCGCATCTGTTCTTCCACGTCCAAAGGACGAGCCAAGAGCGAGCCGCCTAAGAAATCTGGCACCGATAAGGCGACTTGTCACCCGGGCTGTCCCTGCGACGAGCACTGCACCAGAATGGAGATTCATTACTGCCAAGGGAAGAATAAAAAGAACGATCACGGATCAGGGATCAGGTCGAAAAGGAACAGTCAGGGGAATGGCGTCGCTAACGATAAGACGCATCGGTGCAACGAATTGTGCATAGGCTTGGACGGAATTCGCATTTCCAGCGGGGCGGAACGCAGGTCAAACTCTTGCCCAGGGTTCAGACCTAGACCGAAACACGCGAGTTATTTGAGGCATTGCACGGCGTGTGTAAATGGAAAGAGAGACGACGTCGGAAGGAAGTCCGATCTGAGGAAGGTGACGTCCGCCACGAATTTACAGGAAACCAAGAGCGAATCCAGGAACGGCTTACCCACGAAACTGATCGTTCCGAGACCTAGGACCCCTTATGCCAGAAGGAGCTTCTGCATAGATTCTTTGGCACCCCCTTTCAAGGTAGTCGAAGGGTGCAGAGACGCCGATTACCCCGAACATTGGAGACTCATGTCGGTTTATCAGCAGTCGTACAGAAACCCGTCGAAACGCAGGTGTACGATACTTAATTATGAGCATTGCCCACCTTAGTTCGAATTACGTTTAATTCGACTTGCATCGAGCAGGGGGATAACGAGAGCGCAACGTTTCAATGCGTGTACTTACAGAGATAGTTGTGATATATGCCTTATATTTTTACGTTTTGATTGGTTGTTGATTTACTTGATTACGTGTATAAGCGTTATGTTGTTTGGATAGGATGATTCAGGTAGAATTATATTTATATAGTTAATCCGACCGATGTTACGTTACCTTTTATCTTCCGATGTACTTGTTACCAATGTACGATGTTATTTGTTAATTTATATTTTACTATATTAAATTCTTGTTGGATAAGTGTTTGTTGATTAGTGATTGTCCCCCAGTCCGTCTCTATACATTTCCAAGTTTAAGTAACGGACACGAACGTACACTTATCTTGAATTAGTTTATTACATTTTGATGCTTTCCTACATGTAAAATAGCACCGATGCGCGTCACTACTACGCGATCGGTGCTTCTTTCATAACATTTGATATTTTACATGTTGCTTTTGCAATGATAAACTCCGAAGTTCAATAAATCCTTAAAAATATTCTCATGCATATATTTTCGCATAGATCGCTTACCGCTAGCTCTCTCTCCGTCGGTAAAATGTTACAGTTAAGTCTTTGTTGCTTTAAATTACAGAAAATGAGAAAGCACTACGCGATAACAAGGAGTGCAGCAAGGAATCGTATCGCTCATCGTTCCCCCGACGTGTGATAGCAGTTCTCGCGCATACGACATATGTAAATATTTATATGATATATTATAATACCTAGAACCTAGACGTATGTATACGGGGTACGGTCCATTTCTTGATTGAATCGGCACTTTTTAGTTTGTATCGCCCTCAAGGTCAGGTACACTTTAAACCGCGGTAATGACCACTCTCATGCATTCTATATTATTAAACAGCTATTTACCTTTTATATCTTAACACTTGCCAAGTAAGGTGTTTAACAGTAAGTTTACATAATAATTAAATAGTTACAAAGAAATTCACTCCCACGCGCTGGATCTGCTGAGAGAATTTAAATATTACAGCTCGGATCAACAAGAAAGTAAAGAAACGTAGAGTGAAAGTGTGTACATTGGTCGTCGAGTTACATTCGCCATCTCCTTTACCCTGTAATCTTTGTCCCTCGTGGTTGCTTGCCGATGACGATTAACGGGCAAGTTGTCGTTGTTGCGTACCTCTATCGTAAAGTGCTACGATTGAGAGGGCTTCTTCCGTCTGCCGAATAAGTTGCTTAGGACAGAACTTCGCTTGTTGTCGCGATCTTTGCGAGAACCTCCGGAACTTTGTTCGCTTTCCGAGCCGCTTTCGGATGGTCGTCTGCCGTCGACTACGGAGATGTTTTGAGCTCCTTGAGGTACGGCAGGAGGTGGAGAAACGTAGGGTGGCAAAGACGTTGGCCTCCCGGTGAAGGAATTCATTTGTTGCCCACTCTGCGATTTAGGATTAAATTTTGTATACAAACGTTGCTAATTTATTCATTAACGTTTCACCTCATTTTTATTGGCTTACCTGCCTAACGTTTACTGCCACATTTCCATACGCTGAAACACGTAGGAAATTAATACGAATGCCAGTGAATCTTGTAAGAAGTTTACTTTTTATGTCAAAATTAGGGTTTACGGGTAAGATCGTCCTATTAACTGACCTGGGTCATGGGTAGAATTCCACTGAGCCATTCTAGTTGGAGGTGGGGCACTGGACGGTAGAGGAGGTGCAACTTCTTAAAAAAATAATATAGAACGAAATCAGTTTGAAGGAAGACCATCCGCGTATTCCCTTTAATTCATGAACAATAGTTCAGAGATAATACCTTGATGTTGCAGATCAGCGCTACTTTGTCTGCGCCATCCATCGTTAGACGGATGTTGACCAGAACCATTATGGTTTAACGTGGTGCTGCGTTGTTGATACGATTGTGGCCTTGGTTGCTGCACGTGATAGTCAGTATCTACAAGATTTTAATTGTAGGGAATGTAATTAAAAATCGATCACATGAGGATATTCCCTTGATTAATATTGATTTTATTTTTTACCATTTCGCCTTAGTTGCAACACGTTCTCCGAGCTTGGAGACCTTACGGGTACAGGAGGTGGTGCACCTCTTGGGGGAATGGGTGGTTTATCGCTCGAAAGACCTTGATATTGTTCCCTTTGACTCGCCAGCTGTTCCTGTTGAATTAATTGCTGCTGCTGTGCCAGCAATTGTTGCTGCCTGTGCATTTGCAAGAACTCGGTTTGAGTTTGAGGTGGCTCCGAAGGTCTCTGAGCGGTTTGTGATTCCGGACTTCTTGGTTCTCGGCGTTGCTGATTCTGTCGATGCATTTGCAAAAATTCTATCTGCACTTTGCTCGGTGAGTGCTGATCGGAAATATCTCGCCTAATCACTGAATTTTTGCGCTCCATTTCAGGTGTAGACGTCCGACTGCTTCCAGTTGACGACACGTTATCATCGGGATGATCGGGCGTCAGATTCTGTAATCTTTCCAAACCCTCCTGAAATAAAAACATTCAAGGTGCAATCGGTATCAATAATTATTTAAACATTATGATTGAAGTGCGTATTGAGAAAAGTATCGCGAACCTTCTGAGACTCATCGTAGCTCAAAAGTTGCAAGCTGGGTGGTAATTTGGCATGGAACGATATCTTGTTAACCCAGTCTTCCATTTCCTGGCGACTTTGGGCAAGGAACAAGAATTCGGAACCGTCGGTACACTTCAATCTAAATACATTTTTCCTTTTCGTGTAATCCTCCGCTTTTTCACACGTAGCATTGAATATCGTGATAGGCGCGGTAGCGGCTTTGCTTAAGGAGAAGTCTTCCATGTCTTTGAAGAAGCATAAAAGTTGTCCGCATAAAACGGTATAGTATTGCTTCCACGAACGCACGGCAGCCTTTTTCCCGGCACTTTGTAACTCGTGTTTTCTTTCCAGCAATCCTTGAATTTCTACCGGGGGCAAAGTGTCCAAATTTTCCATGCGCTGATGTTTTCTGAAGCTCTGTGTCCTTCTCCTGGTCGTAAAACTGGGGGTCCTTTTCGGTTTTTTCGTATCCACTTTCATACTCTCGGCACGCTTGATGTCCGGGGTCGTTCGTCTCAGTCTGTCTCCAAACACGTGAGTGAGAGTGTGAGTCTTGTGGCCGGACGACGCCTCGGGAGATTCTACGGTAGGTACGCTCTTCAAGGGTGACAACCTGTTAACCGATTCGTGTTCGTCCGAGGTCCCGTTGATTTCTTCATGCGGCACATGGCGAGGACTCTCTAACAGTCGCCTTCGTTCTTCCTCCCGTTTCCTCTCTTCGGTAATTCTTTGTACCTCTTTACGTTTCCGTTCTTCCAGTCGGGCGCGTTCGACTCGTTCCTTTTCGGCTTGTCTGGCAGCCATTTCTGCCTCTTGCTGCTTTTGGAAGGCTCTTTCCAGCATGGTGATACGATTGAGAGCACTGAACTTTTCCTCCTGCGCTTCGATGGTCTTCTCGAAGTCTTCGTGCTTGCGTATCAGATCTTCCACCTGAGGAATGCTCTCCCCTAACTTTCCGTCGTGCAACATCGGTTCGCGGCTGACTATCCAATTCTCCAGCATCTCGGCTTCCCGCTTGAACATCTGGGTGTCCAGGTTCTGCTCGTAGATGAGTCTTCTCTGTTCCCAGGTGTCGTTCAAAACTTGCCTCCTCTGCTCCAGAATGGAGATCTTCTCCTCGATCTCCTTAGCCAGGAAGTGTCCCTGGTGGATCAAGCTCTTTCCAGTTTTGTAAAACTTGTCGAATGCGTCTTTTCGCGTGTCTATTTCGGCTTTGTACTCATTGTGTCTGGAGATTAAAGCTTCGGCCCCCGGCACGTCACGAGCTAACTCCGGGGTGGTGACCTTCGCCACCATCTCGTTTATCCAGGAAATCAAATCTCTGTATTCGTCGAAGTAGGCCTGTAACTGTTCCGCTTGTGCAAGCTTGCTCTGCCTTTGAGCTGCCTTTTCCAGCAAATCGTTCCAAGCTTCATCCGCTTCCTCGTGTTTGACCGCTATGTGTTCCCGGGCGTCAGGGAATAGCTCGGCCAATCTCGATGCTTCCGCCATCACGGACTCGACCTGGAAAATTAGACGTTGAGCGAACGATGGAAAAGGAAAAACAAAGAAATACCAATTTAAAGTACCTGCTCCTTCACCGCTGCCAAATCCGTTTCGAATCCCTGATGTTTTCGAACCAAGGCCTGTATCGTTTCCAAGTCGTGGCCATATCCATCCGAACTTAGACTCGCTTCTTTTTCCTGAATCCAAGAAATGGTTTCATCGGCCGTCCTGTCGAACATGTGAACTTGCTTGGCACCTGCCAACGCCTCCTGCCTGGCGTGGGCTAATTCCTTCAGATCTTCCCACTGCTGTTTAATCTCGTCGATTTTTCCTTGAATCTTGCTGGCTTCTGGATTCTGCTCCTCCAGGAGTTTCTGGCCTGCTTCGAGAATTGCGGAAACGCGACTTTCACTGGTCGTCAGGCCAGCCAAAAAGTTGTCAAAGATCTGAATGAGCAATTCGACGTGTTCAACGTCTCGCCCGTAATCCTCGGAAGCTGCAACCTGATAAAAAAAAATTACAATGAATTTTTTATTTAACCACACATTCAACGAGGTGATCGAGACGTTCGTCTTTACCGTGGTTTGATCGCTTATCCACTCCAGGACTTCATCGGCTTGCCGGATGAACTTGTAGAACTTTTCGCTCTGCAGTAGCCTCTGTGATCTAAAGTCTATCAATGTCTGCAGTTCCTCGAATTTTGATTCGATTTCCTTCTGTTTCTGAGCGATCTTTTTGCTGTCGAAGTGATGTCTGTCTACCAAACCTTGAGACAAATTCTTCAGATTGTTGACCGTGCTCTTAAACCCGCTCAAGTCCCGTTCGATTCCTTCGAGTTTCTTCATTAACGCCTGAACGGAGTCTTCGTCTTTTCCGTAGTCTCCTGATATAAGTTGCGGCTGCTTCTCCTTTATCCACTGCTCAGCTTCCGCAGCCTCGGCATAGAACTATAAGAGCAATAATTTTAGTTATAGCAGTGGCGAAATTATTATAACAATCCGTCTGTTACATACCATTTGCGACTCGACGGCATCCAGCAATCGTAATTTTCTGACGCATGCCAAGTCTCTGACACGAGCCAACTTTTCTTGCAACTCTTGCGATAAGGATGAAATTTTTTCAGATGCGAAGTGACCGCTTCTGATCATGTCGGCAGCTGTACTCGCCAATGAAGCTACTACAGGTTCCCGAGAAATGAGTTCCGCTTCGAGTGCATGATGTTTCTTCTGAAGTCTTTGCACGGTCATCAACGAACTGCCTAAATCGTTACTCGCTGCCAAAGGTTCCTTCTCCGACAACCAGTGCAATTCGTCTTCAACGTCCCTGGAGAACTGATGAAGTAACTTCGCATCTTCCAAGTTATCCCGACGTATTTGAATCGGCTCTTGTAAACTGTGATACCGATTAATGGTAGCCAATGCTCTTTCTTGAATTTCATCTGACATGAAATGATTCGATTTTTGAAAACTGGTCGCCGTTTCTTTAATGGATTCGCAGGCTTCGTTATGACCCAAAACGTCGTTTTCCAAATTAGTGTGTCTTTTAAGCAGATTGGCCACACTGGAGAGGTCTTTCCCGTGATCTTCCGACTGCAATTGGGTTTCAATTTCGTCCATCCAAGTTTCGAACTCATCCAAAGTTCGACCAAACAATAAAGCTTGGTAAGCGTCGTTGAGTCTGTTCTTTTTAAGTTCACTGGTCTCCTGTAATAATCGCCACTCGGCCTCTAGGTCGTCCAGCCGGTTCTGAATCTCTTTCGAAGCATAATGATTCTCGTCGATCAGAGCTTCACCTGTGATAAAATTTGTTCTTATTTAATATTAAATGAAATTAAGTCGTGACTTAACGGATCTTACCTTCATTGATGACTGCGCCTACTCTAGCTCTATTAGCTATCAGTTCGCTCTCGAATGCAGCGTGTTTCTGTATTTTACTCTGCAGATTGGTAGATTCTCGGTAATTTTCGTCACTCGCGACTTGCTGTTTCTGATGCATCCATCCTTCGACCTCGTAGACGTTTCGCAGAAATTGATGCAATTTATGACTTTCTAAAAGTCTCTTTCTTCTGGCCGCTGCGTTATTCATTAATTTGTCCCTTCTAGTGCAAACGGAAATCAATCGTTGCTTAATGATAGCATCATCGGAGTGGTTCTCCGATAAAATTTCAGCTGAAAATCTCTCCAGTTCCTCGACTCGTCCCAGTTGAGAAGTTAACATCTTCTCGAACTCCTCGTGTTTTCGTACCAGCGTTTCAACACCTGATAACGATTCACCGAGGTCGTCATTATTGAGAAACGCCTCCTTCGTTGCCAGCCAATTGTCTGCCTGATCAGCTTGCTCCTTAAATAGTTGCAGCTGGTGAGCTTGAGTTAACCTCTGCCTACGTACGTTCCATGCGTCTATCAATCCCTGTCTAAGTTCTTCTAAATAGTCCAGACTCTCTTTAATGTCCCCATTGACTGGAATCAATTTTTGTCCTTGTTCTTTCAATGCTTTGAAGGTATCCTGCCTGCCATCGATCTCTGCTTTCCTTTCTTGATGCAGTTCCAACAAAGCTTCGGCTTCGGAAATTGTCGACGGGGGTTCGGATTCGTCCATTCGTTTAATAGTGTCAGCCACCCAAACGTCTAATTCGTGTAGGTCTGCTTGGAATTTATGCAACGTGTATGCCTCATTTAAAATCTCACGGCGACGCTGCGTCAAGTACTGCAAATTGTCCCAGTTGGACTGTAGCTCGGATAATATCCCATTTATTTGCGAAGCACTCTCTGGGTATTTGTGTGACAGTTCCTTTGCCTCTGCTTGATGTTCCTTGAAAAATATATGGCTTTATTAATAAATATGATATAATTAATAAATATGATAACCGCTGCTACCCTATTATAGGGAAAGCAATACCTTCATTATTGTCAAGTAGTTAATAAATCGAAACGAGCGAATTTTATATTGCTTTCCTGATCTGAACGGCAGTCGAACTAACGAACGGTACTAAAAATATCAGGCAGTTCGGGTGCCTCCGTCGAGGAAATACTAGATTGCTTAATCAGGGAACTGGATGGCTGCTTGAGTAACGTCTATTTTCGAGTCTTTCTATACGAACCTTTAATTTTCCTTCGATAGCAGTCATGTCCCTTTCCATGGCTTCTTGCTTTCTCTGCAGCTGTTCGACTGCAGTTAAATCCTTTCCCACGTCGTTTGTATTCATTGCCATAGATTTCTCAATAACTCTTTGATTCGTATCATCTATGTCTCTGTTGAAAAGATGGATTTCCAAAGCTCCAGCTAAAGTGTCTCTGTATGCGCTCAGAGCCCCTTGCAGGCCCTTCCATTTGTTATTAAAATTATCCCGACGTTGCTGAATTGCTTTTGATTCATCGTCACGTCCCTGTTACAAAAGAGGTGTTTAATTTTATAGAATTAGAAATACGAATGAAAAAAAAGAAAAGGCGAGAATAATTTATAACGCAAACCTGTCTTATGAGTTTATCCGCCAAAGCGTTAATGGTTTTGATCCTGGCATCATCAACTCTCATGTCGCTATCGACGTCATCGAGTTTCCTTTGCAGACTAAGGCAATGCTCGTAATCTTTCCCCGTGTCTCCTGCCTGAACCATCATCTCTTTATCTCTGATCCAAGCCTCAATTTTTTCAACTTGATTGTTAAATTCAAGAATATCCTGTGCTTCTTCTAAGCCTCTTCCACGGTTGCCAGACTCCACTAAAAGCTTTCGCCAAGATCCCTGGAGATGGTCCAACTGTTGTCGAATTTCTAGACTGGCTGGATGTTTCTGGGCAAGGAGCGTTTCACCTTTACCTGAAATTTGCACGAGACATTTTGATAATCTTGCCGCACAATGTTAACAATATTCAAGGAATTAAATAATACCCTTAATTTCCTCGATTCTGCTCTGATTGGCAGCTAGTTCAGCCTGGAATGCTTGGTGCTTTTGTAATTTCTTGATCTTATCTTCCAAACTCGAAACGTCCCCTTTAGAAGCTTCGGCTTCGAGTTTCTTTTGTTTTTCCCCGATCCAGGATTCAGCCTCGGCAACATCCCTAATAAATTGGGCGTGAAGTAAACTAGCTTCCAGCCTGTTGCGTCTCGCGTCGCAGAGATCTCGGACCTTTGCTCGCTTTTGCACCACCTCGTTCAAACGTCGCTCTATAGTAGGACAGTCGAAGTGATTTTGCGCCAAAAGTTTGTCGCCGTGCTCCTGCAGAGCTATTAATTTCTCCTCTTGCGTCACTAGTAGCTTTTCAAATTCGTTGTGTTTCTTGACCTGTGCATCTACCTCCTCGACAGAAACGCCAAAATTGTCACCACTGAGTGCAGCTTCTTGAGTGGCAGATAAATTGTCCAGTTGTTTCGCATCCCTTAGGAAAAAGTGCAGATCGATGAGCTGATCCAAGTGAATCTTCTTCTGTTGCCAAGCGGTATGCAACTTTTGCCTCTCCTCCAATAACTGATTACACTTCTCTTCAACTTCCTAAAAATAGGTTCTACACTTTATACGAAATATTACCAGCAAGATCAAATCTTGGTTGTAATGGTGTAGCTAGTTACCAGAGCGGCATAATGGCCCGTTTGTACCATGGCTTCGCCAAGGTCGAGAACCGAGATGAAGCTGTCTTCTCGAGCCTCGATTTCACCCTTCAGTGCTTCGTGTTCGGCTTTTAATGTTTGTGCGCTCGCTGCATCGCGTACTTTGTCTTCCGTGGACATTGCGGCACGTAGTCCAGCTGCCCAATTCATTAGATCGCGAACCTAAGTGGAGTCGTGAATTGAAATTAATAGTTAATCAATGGTAACAGTCTCCGAACTGAGAAAGGGGAATGAAAGACATACTTGTGTTAAAAATCGTTGCAAATCACAGCTGGCTTGAAGTTGATCTCGCCTGTGCGCTGATCTTTCCTTCAATTCTTCCCAATTGGCAACAACGATTTGTTGCTGTTGATCGATATGTGCTGCATTATTTCCAGGGTAAAGGACTTGTAGTCTAGATGCATCTTCCACTAAGACTTGGAGTTGGGCCTCCAAAGCGACCAAATCGTTTTCGAATCCTTCGTGGCGCCTAATTAACGCCAAAACGGAATTCAGATCTCGCCCTAAGTCTTCCGGTAAAGCTGCGTTTTTTTCTTGGATGCGGGATAAAGCTTCCGCAACGTCACGATGAAATCGATGAATTTCTCCGGCAGCTTGCAATCGTTGCTCGCGATGTCTTATCAATCCAAGCAGATGCTGCCATGATTCCCTGTCAACAAATATCCGCCCAGTGAATTAAAAAATTATGCGATAACATTGGAAATAAATAAATCATAGTTGACAAGAGGGAAGGACACGGTGGCTAAGCATTTATTTTCATCGCTGATAAAGCTGATGGAACGACTTTGTTATTCAAGTACGAATCCGTCACTACTAGTAAATTCTACGGTATGACATATAACAACTTACCGTATGGCAGCGTGTTGCTTTCTCACTTGTTGTACAGGATCATCTTCGTCCACTCTATGTTAAATTAAGGTGCAAAACATGGTTAAACAGCCAACACCGAAAGGTACGAAACACTACTACCCCTAAGTGCAAAACTAAAATTACGACACAGTGTTAACAGAATTGACAAAAAATATCGACGACCACCAATAATCAATACCTCTACATACTGTACAGTTACAACTAGAAGAATCCAATTTTTTATGTGAAAGAGAAATTAATTTTGTCAAGTAAAAAATATGTATAACATGCTTTCAATACACCTCGTGGTTTAATAATATCCTGTAATTATGTAATGCACCTTACCCTAATTGCTCTTGACGTTTCTCGATGTCTGGAATATACGGACTTTCGTTAGCGATCAGCTTCCTGGCTAGCTCCTCGCACTGGTTGAATCTTTCGGACCCAGCCTCGATTCTGTGCTTGAAGTCGTTGAACTTAGCTTGCAGGATTAGCAGGTGCTCGTAATCTTGTCCGTAATCCTCGGAAGCGGCGGCTTGTTCCTGTTCTTTGATCCACTGCTCCAGTTCTCGGCTTTCCAAGAAATATTCATGACGATACATGCTCTCCATAAGACGTTGCTGTCTCGCCGTAGCTAATCTTTGCAAAGCGCGCATTTGTTGAGCAATGGATTGTTGCTTGCTGGTGATCGCTTTGCTGTCGGGATGTTTCGCATTGACCATTGCTGCTGCCGTGTGTCCCATTTCTGTGACGATGGCATTGTACGTATCTAACTCCAGCTCGACAGCCTGCGTGAAGCATTAATATTCATCAATACCGATTTGATGCAATTAATGGGTCCGAATACGTACATTGTGCTTGGTCAATAATTTCGTAGCAGCGGCTCGGTCTCTACCATAATCGGTGGAACTGAGCACGTCGTTTTTCTCACGGAGCCAGCTTTCAACTTCTCCGGCCTCGAAAAAGAATTCCTGAGCCCTCAAAGATAAATCAAGGGCCCGGCTGCGCTCGCTGGCTTTTTCTTCCAGGTCTTTCCAAGCGTCATCCAGGGCATCGCACAATTCTTGGATCTGTTACAAATGCAACGAACAATGAACACAATGGTAACAATTATTAGTCCCAAGTACAAAGAGTACACAAAGGCACAGTTTTCGATACGTGACGCTGCCGCGTTTCATTGGTGCTTGAAATCATAATTTATTCAAACAAAACCCAGCAGCTGAGAAAAAGAAAGAGACTAGAATTCAGGTGGAACATCAAGTGACTCCGACTAATTAATCTTTACAATTTTTTTTTCGCATGCAGGCGAAGCGAATAACAAAATCACGCTCATGCTTGTCCCGTCTTTCTAAACATAAATATTAAGTTATTACTAAATATAGATGTCAATGTATAATTTTTTTCTTATAAAAAATGATGGTCTCTCACGATGTTGGGATACGAGTATCTAGGCTAAATCATTAGAGCTGCACATTCACTATTCTCTAAGCGAATATTAAAACAACGGTTGAAACGTTATAAATTTGTTCATAATACAAATTTGTTTATATCTGCAATCTTTCACTTTAAGCTTGAAAAATCGTACGTATCTCATGCACCGCATCTGTCTTACCTCGCCAGACAAACGTTTGACGGAGCTCCAACTGTGCAAAAATTATAAACTCTTACTAATTTTAGACGAGGGATTGATGTCGCTCACGGCATAGAAAGTAGATAGTTATTATTCATTAGATTCGTCGCATTTACCTTTCTCCTTTCCGGATGAATTTGATCGATGAGAACTTGTCCAGAAGCCAAAGTTTTGTCTATCATCGGTCGATGGCCTGCAATTTCAGCCTCGAGTTTTTTATGCTTCTTATGCAAAGACTGGGCCTGATGCAAATTCTGCCCTAAAGTCGTCGACGAAGCTTGAGGCAAATGGTCCTTTATCCACTGCAATTCAGCATCCAGCTCGAAACCGAATTTGTGAAATCGAAGGCTCTCTTCCAACGCCTCGCGTCGTTTCTGGGCAGGCTCTTTTAAGTTGCGGAACCTACGGGGAAAAGGAAAGAGTTGCAGAAAATTGCTAAGGTCTACAATAAAGTGAAAAAAAAAAAAAAAAAACAAGTGATTTCCTCACTTTCTCTGAATAGCTTGGCTGCTCTTTGAAATATTCGCCGCATCGAAATGGCCTTCGTGGGTCATTTCTTCGCCCATTGCTACCAAGTCGTCCACCTTCTGCTCCCATTGGCTCATATCGGTTTCCAAAGTTTGGTGTTTCTTCAGCAATTCTTTGCAGCTTCTTAAATCGGTGCCGACTAATCGACTCTGCAGGGAACTTTCTATCTCTTCCAGTTTTAATCGAGCATCCTCCATGGTGCGATTATACTCGTGTTGCGAAGCGGCTTGCCTCAATCTGCGACCCTTTTCCAAAGACAACGCTACCAATCGATCCCATTGGTCGTTCAGGTCTTTCAACGTCTTCCCCACATCCTCGGATCTGTAGTTTTCTTCCGATATGAGCGCTTGTCCTGCCTTGTTGACAGCTCTGAGCTGTCCCTCGTTGGCCCTCAATTCCCGCTCGAACGCTTCGTGTTTCTGGAGCTTGCGCTCCAAATTGTTTAAGTCTCGATAACTCTCATCGGACGCCGTCTTCACTTTATCTCCTAGCCAATCTTGCAAATCGTCTACTTCTGCAGAAAACTGTTGGTAATGTTCCGACGCCTTTAGAGCCGCACGACGACGTTGCGCCGCGCCTTTAACCGCTGCGCGACGTGCCAAAACCTGGTTTCTTCTATCGTTAATGCTGTAAACAATTAATGCGTGTTATCCCAATTTAATCACTACTTTGTAAGTTACTGGGACGACAAAAAAAAAATAGATTTAATATCGACTCACTAGTCCTTTTCATAATGATCCTGTGAAATTAAGCGGTCGGCGGAGTCACTGAATGCCTTCAACCGGTCATCTTGAGCATGAAGAGTATTCTCGAATTTTTCGTGACGCTTTAACAGAGCCTCGACATCGTCTAGGGTTTCACCCAAATCCGTGAATTCTAAAAAGGCCTCGTGAGACCTGGTGGTGGCCTCGATCTGGTCCGCTTCTCTGTTAAATTGTTGTAATTCTAAACACTGCCGTAGCCATTGTTCCTTTGCGAACCAGTCCGAGGTTACGTTCTGATAGAGGCCGTGTAACTTGTCCAGGCGTTCGCGAACTTCTGCCAGGGCCGGATTACGACGAAGAAGCTGATTACCCAATTCTTCGACCTCTCGGAATCTATGAAAAAAATAATTGTCAATAACTGTATTACGTTCATCATTTACATAGACGACAAAAAAGCAAAACGCATTTTTTTTTGTTTCAAAATAAATAACTATTAATTCCATACTCGTCCTCGCGAGTCCTTATTTCTTCGCCAAGCTCTACGTGTTGTTTCTTCAATTGTTCGGCCGTTGCGATGTCTCTTACGGGTTCTTCCGCTTTCATGATGTCTTGCACGTCGGTCGCCCAATTAATTAAATTCTTCGAACTGTTCATAAAAATTTGCTGACCCACGGCATCCTCTAAACGAGACCTGCGTTCCTTAGCCTTGGCTTGAACCTCGTTCCATAAATCTCGTATTTCATTTTGCCTTGCGTTAACGTTGTTCAATTCATTGGGATACGAGTTCTTGACGCTGTCGGCCAACAGGTTCACTTTGCGGACCTAGGACATGATCGGCAAATAATTTTTAACGAGTATAAGAGGAAAGGAGATTATCCGACCTCTAACAGTACCTCTCTCGCGAGGGACAGCCGTTGCGATTCTTAATACTTTAAGCTCCTCATTACAAAAAGGACCAGCAAAGATTCATTACCTTTTCCTCAACGGGCGCTAATTCTCGCTCCAGGTGTTGATGCCGCCTTTGCAGCGCTTGTACGGTCTTCAAGTCAGGGCCCAGCTCAGCGGTATCCAACTGAGTCATCTTCTCCAGCATCCAATCGTGAGCTTCGTCACAGGTCCTGTTGAACAACTCGACACTCGACGCTCCTTCCAAGCTCTTCTCCTTCTGGGCCTTCAGCCAATTCAGATGATCCCACAGTTGGTGAATATGCCTTTGCCGCGCCTTGACTTTGTCCAGCTGACTGTGACCCTGGGTAACGAAGTCCTGCACCGCCACGTCGATGGCTTCGATTCGTTTTCCGGAAGCCGAGAGATCCGTCAGGAACTTTTCGTACTTCCTCTTGGCGGTCTCGACGTTATCTCGGGAGTCGTCGGCTCGCAGCATCTTCTCCTTATCCTTGATCCATTTTTCGAAATCGTCGCACTCACGGTAGAAGCCGTAGAGTCTGATGGCATCTTCCAAGAGGGCATGGCGCTGTGCCGCCAGCTCCTGAAGCTCCTTGTAAGTCTCGTTGATTTTTCTCTGTCGTTTTTCCACGCTGTCGCTGTCATTGACCGCTTTGCGCTTGATCGGCTTCACGGTCGACTTGATTGACTTCAGCCTCCTGACCGGGACCACCTGTTTCACCATTCTCGTCTTCTTGACCCTCTGAGTGACCCTAACTTTCTCCGGGCGTCTCACCGGTACCTGGATGACTTTCGGCTCGATCTCGCGCACATAATTCGCAGGTACGAAACCGTCACTCCCGTCCGCCTTTCTCACGCTCCACCAGTCTTCGTTGGTTTTCTTTAGCAGGAACATTACCTCGCCTTTCAGCATGTGCATTCCTTCGCCGCTGAACGGGTACAAGCTTTTAACCTGCGGTACCATTCTGTCCTCGAGAACCGTTCTAGGCTCCTGTCTCTCCACGATCTCGTCGACCCATTCGTCTTGTGGAACCAAGCGGATCTCCTTGCCTGAAGAAGGAAAACATTTTTTTATCAGCACTTATGCCCGCTACTAATCGATTCGAGTTAATAAGCCTTTACTTACTCCACTCCTCTTGTTCCAGTTCGGCTACCGGTTCTGGATCCGCGGACAATTCCAAGGTTGAGATTCCGGCCTTTATCAATTTCTCGGCTTGGAGATTCAGAGACTGCACGTCGCCTTTGTAGGCATTGAGCTCTCCCTCCAAATCCTTGTGACGCTGTAGCAGCGCCTGCGCGCTGGGCTCGTCGACGCCGTAATCCTGCGAGGCGACGAGGGCCATTTTCTCGTTCATCCAGGAGTCTGCCTCGTTGGCGTCGGTGTAATACTGGAAGGCCTCGGCAGCGTCATCGAGTTGCTTCTTCCTAAGAGCTGCCAGCTCTTCCAGAACCTTCCAATGTTCCAGCAACGACTCGATCCTGTTCTGGATCTCCAGGGCGGAGGGATGGTTATCGGCTATCAACTTCCTCCCGGCGTTGCAGAGCTGCTCGGATTTCGGCCTCCTGACCTTCATCTCGTCCTGCAGAGCCTTGTGCTTCTGTTGCAACGAGATCACAGCCCGGAGATCCTTCGCGGAGATGCCGGCCTTGCAGATCCGCTGCTTTTCGACCAGCCAGGACTCCTCGTCCTCGTGGTCCTGCAGAAAGTGGAAGAAGTTCCTGGCGTCCTCCAACCGCGCCCTACGCTCCTTACTGTTCTCCATGAGCTCATCATAGGCGTTATTCAGAAGCTTCAATTTTTGTTGAAGAAGAGGCATCTCCTTGTTCTGAGGCTGCGCCAGGTGCTGGGCGGCTTGTCTCCCGAGTCGCCTCTGGGTCTCCCCCAGGGCGGTAACTTGGAGCTCCTGCAAGCTGTGCTTCTGCAGCAAGTCCTCGACGCCCAGCAGATGCGGGCCGACGTCGGTGCTTTGGAAGTTAAGTTGGAGTTCCTGAATGGTCGCGAGGGTGGTGTCGATTTCCCTCATCAGGCTCATGAGCGAGCAGAGCGCGGCCAGGTTGACTTTGTGGTGGTCCAGGAAAGCCAAGACCTCCTTCCACCTCTGGAGAACTTCCTGCTCGCGAACTCTCACCCTCTCCAGGCCGTGGTAATTTTCTCTGACGAGTTCGTCCGACATATTCGTCAAATCGTGGAAGCGTTCCTCCCGGGCCATGATGTCCGCGCTGATGGCCTCGTGCTTCTTCACGGTCGCGTCCACCTGAGCCAGATTGCTGCCGTACCTCGGATCGGACAGCACCTGTATCATTTCCTTGAGGTAGCCCTCTCTCAGGACGCTCTTCCTCTCGAACTTGTAATTCAACTGTTCCAGTCGCTCCTGTCGAAGCAATTCAGTCCTCAAGGCCACTTCTCGCCGGTGCTCGGCTCGCTCCAGCTCCACCCAATTCCTCTCGATGTCGTGCACGAGCTGGCCCTCCTGGGGCGTGAACGCGGGTTGATTCAAGGACTTTAGTTGCGTGTTTATGTGGAAATAGAGGGCCTCGATTTCCGATCGCTCCTTGTACTTCGGCGGCTTTTCCACCGTCCGGTACTGCTTGAAAGCCAAAAGCTCGCGCTGGATGCCCTCCAAAGAATTAGGGAAGCTCCGACTCTCCAGAACCGTGATCTTCAGTTTGATCCACTCGAGCAGGTCCGTCGTCAGCTTCTCGTAGTGGACCTTCATCTTGTCCGCATCCATCATCTGGCCAACGATCTGCGGATTGGAAGATACATCTTTATAAATAACATCCGCAATGCCCGTTTCTTAGTTGCCGCAATATTTCAGCGATTCGACGCGCGTCATATCCGAGGGGGTCAAACCCCTCGTCCTCGACGACCGAGCTACCTACGTTCGCTATTCTCTTCCCGCTTTTGATTTCGTTCTTCATCCTGGCGAAGGTGTGATAGTAGGAGGCCACGTAAGTGATGATGGATTTCTCGTCGGGCCTCGCAGTGTCCACGTCCTCGGCGTCCAACAACCGCGGTATCCCCAATTCCGAATTGGCCACGTCGAAAGCATAATTGAGATTGTCGATGTGCTTGTTCTGCTGGAGCTCCGACCAATTGACCAGGTCTGGTCTGTGAGCGTGTATGAGCGCATTGAAGCCAAGACCGCTCCTCCACGAACCTTTTGTGCACCATAACAATGCAATTTAGTCTAACGACCCCGGAGGAAAAAGGATTTAATCGAGGGGAAAAAATATCCGCTCGAACGTTACATTCGCAAAGAAACCGCCCGTTAAGTCGGCGGAGACCATTCTCCCAATTCCTGGGGTCATCGAAACCGTAGATAAAAATATTAGCATCGATATCGGGGAACCATTCTAGACATTCCCTAAGATAAACCCCATCGAGACGCTTTACCCGTGAAGTCCTGAATGTTGACGCCAGGATAGCCATTGGTCTTCCTCTGGCACCACAGAAGGAGCGCATCCTTCGCGGACTTCTTCTCGCTGCTCTCATTTTCCTCGTCGACGTCGATTTCTATCTCCTGGATTTGGAATCGCAGGATGATGGTCCAGATGAGGCCGAGAATCAGTCTCGGGTTCCCGTCGACGATGTCCTCGGCGCCGATGCTCTCCAATCGTACCTGCAAGGAAAATGCATCGATAATTTACACCCTTGGTCCCCGCGACCCGAAGCAATTTTCGTTGAAATTATCGATGAGGCGGGAACAATAAGGGGCCCGTTCCCTTTAAATCGCAGCCAGGGACGAAAGGATAAGGCTCGGCGGGTCTAATTTAGACAAGATCGAGCGGTATCCCGTGCAACGTTTGTGATGCTTGGAATGCCGTCCGATCGCTTGCGGATCGGACACGACAAGGCCACCGAGGGAAGTGTTGCTTTTGCAAGGCGACGAACAATACCGGAATCCAAAAGAAAGCACCGAGAAAGCCCGCGTTAATTTAAGGCCCGATTCGTTCCGAAAAGCGACGCTACGTGTCTATCCCTCGAAATTAATAACCGCCGCAAACCAAGAGTCACAACATCCGGAAGGTACGACGCGCAATTAGGCCCCGACGTAAAGCGCGCGGCTTATCGTTATCATTTTCTATTTTCATCCCGCAGGAGAGGACGTAACCGCCACCGTTAATTCCTCCCTCGGAATTCCCAAGGAGGGATAAAGAAGGAAAGCCGACGATTTACGAACGGTGGGGAGAGAAATTCCATATAGAATCGACTCGTCCCCGAAATCCGATTATTTCGCATTCTCGACTCCTCCTTCCGGTTTATCCCGTGCATCTCGAGAGTTCTCGAGGACGCTCCTCCTTCCGGAAGATCAGCGCGGAGAGGAAACACTTTCCGGCGCAAAAACAATACGAGCTCTTAAATGACGGGAGGAGGTCTCGAAAAGTCGTAAAAAAATCGCCTCCCGCAATTTATGTCGGGTCCCTCGTAAAGGCTCGGGGTGAGGAGAGGAGAGAATTCGAGAAAAGAAGGGGAGGAGCCCTGAATGAAGCGGGCCCGTTACTTGGACGCGTATCGACCTTCGAATTTCGGCAACGCCCGAGAGCCGCGTGCCCGCACGCGGTAATCGCGGCTCGAGCGAGACAGGAATAACGAACGAGCCGCGAGCCCGTGCACGGCCAAGTTAGAACGCGATAAATGTACGGTTACGTTCCGCGAGTAAACCCATAGTTCAAAGTCGTGAGGCGCGGGTATTGGCAAAGGACGGGCGTTGCGACACCGCTAATTATTCCATTACACCGAAGGAGGTGGGTGTCCCGGCCCGGACCGATAACGCGGATGCATTCCGCGAGGAATGCGAACGCAGGAGCAATATCCGCGATATTTACGATATTCCCGGCAACGCAACGGAATTTTCAAGGTCGGACACTCCACGTCCATTTACTTCCCGCTATATTGGAGCGGTCTCGTTAATCTGCTCGCCCGTTATGCCGCGACCGTCCCGATGGAATGCCAAATGGAACGATACGCGGAAAGACGAGCTCGGAGGATAGCGGAGGGTGCGGAAAACGCGTGGCCGCGTCTACGCCTACGCGCCGAGGGGCCCGGAGCGTTAAATTAACGGCCCGTTCTTGTCTCCTCGATCGGCCGAGGCGAATTTCAGCTCGTTATTTGCCCGTCGTCCCTCGCAGCTTACAACGCTCCGCCGTCGCCTCCGCCGACGATTTCTCCTCTTCTTGCGCGGAGGAACGTTCGACGGGCGACTCCGGAAGCGCGCCAGGAAAAAGCGAGAAAACGGGAAGGATATTCCGTCGATTTCGAGCCGGAACGCTCCCCGATCTGAAATTCAACGGATCGATCGCCGAGCCGTGAGATTCCTCGCGCCGAGTGCCGGGATCGATCAGCGATCGACTTCCTCGTGCCCGGCGAGACTTTAAGTCAAAAATTAATACCTCGTCCTATTTCGACAATTTCGCCAGTTCTTAGATCACGTTTGCGACCGCTCTTACGCGAAGTGTCCGGGAATTCCTGCCAATTCCAGGCACCGGGAACCACTGACCCTTGCTCTTGCCATTCGAGCCGCTAGCGGCGATCGTCGCGATCGATTCCTTTCCAACGGCTTTTTTTTTCCTTTTCTCGCCCATCTTTCCCTTAGCGATTCTTTGCAGACGAGCTCTCGGGTTCCCGGGCCCAACCGGAAGAACCTCGCAGGGATTGCATGACTGCCCGATGCTACTATTACGTCACGGACGGTGGTTCCTGCGATACTTGCTCTGGGATTATCTTCCCTTTTCCCTGCGAGCCGATCCCCGGATCGATTTTGCATCCTCTGAAAAAAAAAAAAAAAAAAAAGAAAAAAATCGCGCCGATTTTTCTCGAGGCTCGGTGAGAACGTACTAAATAAATTCCCTCTAGAAGAAGAGAGGAGCGATCGTTCCTGCCGCGAAACGCCCATTCGAAGTTTCAATTGCCCTCGGCTGGAATTTAATCGAGGCCTGTTAAGGCCTCGCTGGAAAGAAATCGCTCCGAAAGAAGTAGCCCAACGAACGTTTTCCCTCCCGGGGAGTTGGCGCACTCGGGGCCAAAATTCGAAACGGCCTTTTCCGCGAGGCGGCATTCTCCTCACGGAAATCGGTGCCAACGGTTCCCGTTGCGTGGCGCATATCGATGCAAACGATCGAGGTGCACCTATGCACCGCGGCCACTTGGGAGTAGCTCGGACCCGAATGCTCGAAACTCGGAAACCGAAGTCTCGACGAGGTATTTTTTTTTTTTCGAGAGAAAGCGAATGGCGCGAGCCCGAGGTCGATATCTCTAGGCGAGGTGTCGGAACCGAGGAGAGTCTCGGCGAGGTACGGGAGTGGACCTCGACCCAGGAACCGGTAAACATTAGCGAGAAAGCAACCGCTCATTACCCGGGAACCAAATTTCTAATTCTTCCTTCAAAATCGAAGCTACTCTCGAGCGGCTCCACGGTAAAAAAAGAAAAGGTTCGTCCTACGATAACATTTTTTTCTTTTCAACGGGGAGAAATATGCCACTTGGGTCACTCCTTTGCGAATGAGCAATACCGCGGGGCAAGAGGCGATTGCGCGGCGGGTTTTAATTTTTTCCAATTTTTGTAGGGCATCTGGGAGAAACGCGAGTCCTCGAGGATGGCGATCGGCGTGCAGTCCGCGATCGGTGGGCGCACATGTACGTGCGACACGAAAGGAAGGCCTCGTCGCGTAGCGGTTTTCCGCGCCGCATCGTTTGCGTCAGCGGTCGCGCATTCTTGGCAGAGCACGGAATGTGGATCGAAGGTATGCGAATGACAACTCGGGAGAGATAGATATTGCGAGAGGCGGTTATACGAGCGGAATCGAGAGGATCTCGAGCCTCGCCGAGATCAGCGGGGGGCATCGGGTCGTCCGCCGTTCCCCTTGGTCCTCCATTCGCCACTAACAATTTATTCTCTATAAACATTCGGAACATCGTTTTCAAAAAAGGAAGAAAAAAAAAAATTACTACGTCTTCTTTCTCTTAATTATTTTTCGAGAAAAGCTCCGACCCTCTGCAGGGACCGAATTCTACTCGCATCAGCTGATCGAAGCGATTCCGCGAGGGATATAATTTCCAACTGTCGAAGGCGTCCCGATCGATCGATATTTATCGTTCCCCAGCTCGAGGGAGATCTCCGGAGTCTAATCCACTCGGAGCTTTGAATCGGGCTCGGTGATTTCGTCCAGTCGCGATGGGCTCGAATCGAAGGGCTAATTAAATCGATTTTTCCCCCTCGATCGGACTCGCCGAGAGGACGAGGGACGATCGAGGGGAATTCTTCAAGGTCGAGCGAGCCGTCTTCCACGTCGTTCGAGCTCCTCGGACTAATAAAGTCTTCCGACGTCGTAACGCTTTTCTACTACTTGTACCGTAACGCGTCCCTCGTTACGGGATACATTAGTGGTTTACGGGTACATAAGCCGGCTATGTGCGGTATACGCGAGTACATGGCGGTGCCCGCGGTACGCAAACCAGGACAGAGAGGGATAGAAGACGATGGAACGGAATGGGAGTCTTTCCCCGATGCCCTCCGCATATTCCGCCCGATATCGCGTTGCACCTGCGCGGCAGTTTGCTCCTCTATATTTATTTATCGCCGGAGTTTATGTTTCCTTCGTCCAGGAAACGAGGCGAGCGCTGTACGCCGGAGCATAACGGATTCCCCGAAAGCCCCCGTGTAATTGGAATCGCCGCTTTTTCTCACTTCTCCCATCCCGATTTCTAATTCGGCGCAGTCGCGGGAGCGTGCAATCTGCAACCAAGAGGAAGCGCACTTTCCGCCTTTCGATCCTTGCTTCCCGAGGTTTCGAAAAGTCCGGCGGGCCCGTCATTGCGCCAGCGGGCAATTATGAGCGGCCTGGCGAAAATTTCTCGGAGTTTCCGGATTTCGCTATCGGGGAGCCTCGACTCCTTCTCGGCGGTTCTCCGGTGGAATCTTCCCAGGACGATCGGGAACGCTATCGCGCGCCTCGGCGCGAACATGCACTTCGTGGCCTAACGAGGATCGAGATGGCACGTCGGAGGAGGAAGGGAACGGAGGCGACGTCGGCGAGTCTAGGAGTCGGCACGACTCTTTCCGTCGATCGTCCCGTCGAGGGTTAAAAAATGGCGAGACGCCCGATAAGGGGGAAAATATGGGATTCCAGTCGAGGATCGACGATGCGTCCGTCCCGATCCGAGCACTCCGGAGGTGCGTCGAGATGGAGAGTCGACGGTCGCGCGTTTATTATCTCGCGACCACTTATCCGCGATTTCACCACGGGTGTTAACGGAGTCGGCGACGGGGACCGCGTTAACGCCTCTTGTTAAACGGCGGTAAAACGACGGCGCGACCTATTCGGAAGTCAATGGCAAGTCGAGATAGGGTTTCCCCGTTTCCAAGATTCAGAGGAGCGCGGTGAAAATTTTCGAAAGTTCCGGAAAACTGTCCAAGGGATATCGGGCGCAAGAAAATTAATCGGCGCACTTTCGAGGGGCCGGGGTGCGCGAGTGCGGAGCTAGAGAGAGAGGGGAGAAAGAGGAGCCTTAACGAGGCTCCCCGACATGTGGCGTGCAGTCTCGCCGAGAGAGTCGGGACGAGATAGGACTTTTACGGCGCCATTCCGGGGCAGAGGATGTCGGACTCGTAAAATCTAGAAA